TTTTTTTTCCCGGTATTAAACAGGCAAAACTGGCAAAGCAATCCAGAGGCAACAAAATAGTCCCGGTCCTTCAACGATTGCCGTCGCTTTGCCTGAAATGCCATGCACTGGCCCTCATTCTGGCCCGGATTTCACTTTATTAACGGAACCGATACGGCGATGAAAAGCCCGCCGTAATGGCACTTTAGGTGTGCCGACATTGTCCCTTCACTAGCCCAAAAGTCGTGTGCTTGTTGGGATGTTACATGCAGCAGAATTGTATGGTATAATTTTTAAGTTTTGTTTAGGGATGTCAGAGCTGTTCTACATGTGACTCCTTAGTCATATGACACACATCCAGCTATCTAACCCAAATGCGTGTTAAGGTATCCGACAATCAAGCCCATCAATAATGATCAATTTTGCTTAGTTTTCAATGATGGTGCAGCATTCAAGGTCAGTAGGAGAGTAAAAAAACAAAATATTCACTTTTGGGGAACAAAGAATCTGTAATTCAAAGGGCAAAATGTGCAAGATTCCGCTAAGTGTTCTGTGCAATGTCCGGTAAGAAGGTGTTATACCTTCTTTTCTTCAAGAGCAATCTGTCAATGGAGCCACTTTTTTGGATATGTTAACTCTATGGTTGATACCACAATTGCAGAATGACATTGATAACTTTATTCTCCAATCCGAGGGAGCACCACCACACTGATTGGCCTATGTGCAAGATAACCTTGATGAATATCTCCCTAACTGATAGATTGGACAATCTACAGACTGCTAAAAGCCGCTTAACCAGTGGCCTTACAAAAGTCCTGACGCAACACCTTGTGGTTTCTCCCGGTGGGTTATGTAAAGGTCGGTGTATTTGTCCCCCCCCCCCTGTTTATTTAGCAAATTCAAAACTGCTATCACAGTTGCTATCAATGGATTTGATTCGAGAACCTTAACATGTGTTTGAGTAGACATGTATTTGGATCTCACATAAAACATGCAACTTTCTCTAATAAAACTTAGAATAATCCCTTGCAATTCTGTTGCAGGTAGCATTTTATATCTTACTTTGTTCCTGATGTATAGTGTTAAAATAGTATACTTCTTTTATAAATTAGCCTGTATAATGATGCAATTTAAGTAGATTGCTACAACATATATTTTAGCGTAATTGGCTGTATCGCTTTTTAAGTGTACAAAGTGCAAAAAAATTTTATATATATATAAGAAAAACTTGAATCACTTTTGATTTAATGATTGGTTTTTCACATACATGGATTCAATCGTAATGGTTTGAGGGGAATCTCAACTATGCTAATTAAGTAGGGGGGCAATATTTTGAGTTCCGAGATCATACACAGAAACCTACTTTCTCTGAATAAATGTACCCTTTTTATTTTTTGGGAGGGGGGATCCAGATTTCTGACCCCTAAAATATGGTAGCTGCCATATGAGAAATATGGTCCCAATAGTTGGTCAAGAGTTTGATCCACTGTTTGAACCCCATAATGTTAATTTTACTTTTTGCATATTTCACTTTTTCTCCAGAATTTTTTAAGCGAATGGAAAATTCTTTGCACAAAAAATTATAAAATTCATTTATCCAATAATAATTTCATGTGAAAATAAATTTTTAGCAATTATTTATTATTTTATTTAATTATTATCAAGTTGAAAGAATTATGAATTATAAGATGTGCAAATTTTTGCATTATTTTAAAGAATGTAAGTTTACATAACAAAATGGTCATATAGTTTCTGAGAAATCGAAATTTAAATATCTAACTTTTTTTAAGATTCGATTTCTCAGAAACTACTAAACCGATAGTGTGACAGCTGCCTTAACTTCCCAGGCAAGAATTTTATATTTTATTTTATAACCATCGTTGAACAGCTGGCCCAATCTTATTTGGGTTTGCGGCTACTAATGTTCTGCTTTGTAATTTTGAACTTAATCCAGAGGACAGGCTGGGTGCAGAATTTGTATTAACCAGCCATTGCTGGGATTCGAACCCGGTTCACCTCATTGAAAAGCGAACGGAATCTAGATAGGCTTCACGCTGCTTCCTGGGATAGATCCAAAGTCCTATACAATAACAGTCTTCTTATCACTGTGCCATTGCTGCTTTAATAGCTATTTATTAAACTAAAAATAAGACTTTACGCTATGGTGTTTTTTTACTTGCCTTATGCTTATATACGAAATTATCCTTTAAGGCTTTTACTATATTTTGTCTCCATTTTATTTACTTTCAGGCTGTTTTACAAAATTTGCACCTCATCAAAGTGAAAAATGTTTATGATATTTATGAATTGTTCGAATTCATGGATTTCATCAAAGAAGAAATATTTAAAAAAGTATAAAGTTTTTTTTTAATGTGTTTAGTTAATATTAATCAGCTTTAATTTAAAACCAAATGTTGTGATTTTTTTTTCTCCTTAAATTCTTAGTGTAGTTTTTTTATGTTAATGGGTAAATTTTGAAGATTGCTTTTTTTGGATTCGCTGTTTTTCTACCATATGACCTATTTAGTACTTCCTTACCTTTGCGAAGTTCAGAAGTTTGCTGTAGTACACAAGATTTTTAAAAAATGGCTCATAAATTTTCAAAGTCTGCTTACTAAATGTATCAACATTATTTGCTTTTAATATTATTTATTTTTATGTGTATTACAGCCTGATTTCAAGAAGAAATGCAGCTCATTATTTTGCTTTTATGATTACAATGATTTGGTTTTTTTTTTTTTTCTTTTCTCGATGTTATTAAGTTTGAAATTAATTCCATAAACAAATCGAATTTCAATGATTCCCAAAGCCAAAAATATTAAAATGCTTCTTTTTTCAATTGTTAGCTTGTTAACTTTTACTTCATTTATCACAGTAAAGGAAGTTCATTGTATCGAAATTTTAATAAGGCACTACCATAGCAGGAACGAGTTAGCCTTTTCCTTTATTGGATTGGCAACCCAGTTGGACCCTGGCTTTCTCTATAGGTTTTTCAGCCTGCAAGTGTTTTACCATCTTTTAACTGCAGTGCTGGTACATATTTTTCATTTATTAGTTGTCTATCGCACAATTCATTCGACTAAATGTAATTCATAATATTGAAATGTTACAGAGACAACTGCATGGCAGGAACAATTTTACCTTCTCATTAAAAGACTGCCAATGAGACTTAAAAGACTATCATAATAAATATTGATAATGAAAGCATATAAAGAAACACATACAACTAAGTGAAGCAGTAATTAAGGAAAATAAAAATTTGTGCATTGATAACATCCTTTCAGGAAATTTTACAAGTATTAAATTAGTCTTGTAAAGTAATTATTTTTCCATACTCATACATATATTTTATTTATGTTTTAGAATTTTTCAGTTAATATTATTATTTTTTTTAGGAAAATGTTTTCTTCCACCGCTTGAAACTTCTGGTTATTGACTCAATAACTCCACTTCTGTCACCTTTGTTTGGTGGAAAGTATTTAGATGGACCTGCTTTAATGAACAATGTTGCTCAACAATTTAAAGTATTGACTTCACAGCATATGATATCTATTTTGGTAAGATTTCTCTGTTTGCTCCAAGCTTACATGAGTATAAGTGTGTGATTTTAGTTTTCAGTTTTTCTTATAAAACCTCTTTAAACTATTTCAGGTTTGTAATAACACTGTTAATGATAAAGACTTTGCTATCAAACCAGCCTTGGGGCATAATTGGAAATATATTCCATCAATTTCACTTTCCATCTCCAAGTTGAGTTCAGGAAATCATAAAATGAGCACATTAAAAAGTTGTCGAAATGTAGGTATTACATTAGCTTGTATACTCAGTGCCTATTTGTATCTTCCTCTTGTGAATTTTACTGTCGTTTAGTGTTTTTTATGCAGATTATATAGCTTAAAATATTGTTAATCCTTGTTTAAAATTTTATCTTTTTACAATCACACTTTTTATTTTCAATGAATTATTCATGCGGACTTAGTTGATATTGACTATAAACTTTTTGTTTTTAATCAAATTTCTACCATTCCAGCTTTGGATTAAGTTCCTGAAATTGCAACAAAAACTGAAAGATAATTATTTTAATGTGTTAAAAAAAATTTGTCCGACAGTTCATTTTTAACTGACATTGCTTTGCCTGTTTAATTGACATGTTTTTAACTAAATTTTAAGGCTATCTCATGAATTATGATAAATTTTCAAGTAATGAGTGAAAAAGTTATAGGTTCTCTCCTATCTTAATCTTCACGAAATTCTCTATTTTACCCCGCAGTCAATATTTTTAAACATCATAGAAAATGTTTTGGGAGTTCATTATATTTGCTTGCAGAAAGTTTTTTTTATTGAGATTTTGTATTTGCAGAAAGTTTTTGATTTTATCTGAGTCTGGTGTGTTTAGTCTTGAAAGTTATTTGTTTACGAAGTTGTTTTTAGTTTTATTTTAAATTATTTGCACCTATATATAAATATTAATTTATTCCTTGTGGCTTCCTTAAATGTGGCAGTTTTTTTTAAAAACAGTTTCTGGTGTGTTGATAAATTTCAATTGTTGATAACTGAATCACATATCTATTTTTTTATAAAAGTTCATATTTTTTTTCCTTGCTTCATTTTCATTTATAATTTTATAAAATTATTATCAAATTTAAAGTGCTAATATAGCATACTTCAAATTAATTTTAGTTTTAAGCTGCAAAGTTTATTAATAGGTCAATTACAATTTAACTTATTGGAAAAACCTAAAATATTAGCGTCTGACATTTGTAAAGTTTCTCGCTATCCATATTTTTTTCTTGAATAGACTTTGGTTTAGACTTAAAGAGTGTAATGGTTTTGTTTAGTTGTTGGAAATTATAATATAAAATTCTTGTAACCTGGTTAAAGCATATTTAATAATTTGTATTTCTAAACACACCAAGTATCAGTATTATTGTATTATACCTCTTAAACTTTTTTTTTGAAGTATACTTAAGTTTAGTGTTAGATTATCTAGCTTCCAATACTTGTTAAAGATATTGAATTTTTTTAAATAATCACTCTGGATCGATAACTATTTATTGCTTCTGACTATTAAGACACTTAAATGAGAATTTTTGTTTTTCTTTTAGACTTTTAAAATACAGCAGTTTAATAATTTAAGTGCAATTTGAGCCTAGGAAAAAATGACTGCAAATGATAAATTCACTATTACATTAAATATACTAGCAATTTTATAATGAATTTTTTTATGGTTATTAAAGATTTTTTTTTCTTTCTTATTGAACTTATTTAAGATTGAATTAGGATATCACCTGATAGTGTGATATCATCTGATAATTCGGATATAATTTTGTAGCATTGGCTTAAAATCAGTTTTTATAAAATCGATTTTTACTTTTTCTAGTTTGTTTCTTATAAAATTTATTATTACAGAAAATATTTAATTTGAGACTTTTTTTTTTTTTTTTTAGAGTTTTCTTTTTTTAAGTGTTTATTTAAGGTTTAGGTTGTAAGGCTCCATCAAATGGGGTTCTGAGAGTTAAGAATTTTTTTTTTTTTTAACTCTTAATGATTTTTGAAACCTGCAATAATATTGATATCCAATCAATAATTTTTTTATTAATTCAGTTATTTTTTTATAAAATTATTTGATTAAAATGCGTGTAAAAAGACTTTATTTTTAATATAGATATTTTCTAATGTTTTTCCCATGCATTTATATGAATAACTCATGAAACTTTTCAATTCAAAATAAATTAATTAAATTCAATATAGTTGTAGGTATCTTTGATAACTGTTTTCAATGTTTGTAACTGCTCTTTTTCGTTGTGAGTTTCATGAAAACTTTCACTTGATGTATTTCATTTATTTTCAGCTTCACCGAAGAAAATTTAGACCAGATCTGTGAATTCAATTGTCTGACATAAAATCTAATTTTAATACTATTATTGATTAAAGATGAAAAAATTTCACTCTTCACAATAAGTATTTAAATAATAATTTGTGATTTTTTTTTGTTTTTTTTTTTTTGTTTGTTAGCCACAACTTTAGACTATAGATAAAATAAGTCAGTAATAAACTTTTATAATACTGGTAGGGATAAAAATTAATAATTATGTAACTTAAATGTTAATTTTTTCAGAATAAAACTAAGAATTTTAACAATGTTTTTAGGCTTACAAACCTTTGAGAAAACCTGTTTTAACTATATATTAAAATTATATTTATTAATTTCAGTTCCACTGTTAACTATGAATAAAATATAAAAAGATATTAAGTTTTATCTATGTGAATTAATACAATTATTTACTTTTATTTATAGGGCTTATTCCACCAAGTATTATTTCATATTACTAAAGCTGGAGTGACTGATTGACTGTGCAGCTTATTATTCATAATGGCCTTTTGGATGATTGCAATTCAAGATTTAATTTCTGTTTTATTTTTGTATTAGTTCTCACATCGAAATTTAACTTTTGTTGTATTATTGTTTGTGATTTTTTTTCATTCATTAATGTGATTTCAAAGTCTTAATAAATTACTTTTTTATTTATCTTCTATACCGTAAATTGTATTTTATTTCATTATTAACTTAACCCTGCTTTTTTTATTCATTTCTGTTATTTGACAATCAAACCGAAATAAATTGTTGGGAATTTACTTAATGTTCAGAAATCTACTGTGGATATTCAGGATGCCTTAGTAGTCTGTTTGTTATTTTGCTCTCATACTTTTCCTTGTGTTTCAAATGCTTTTCTGGAGGATAAAAATAGCTAAAAAATATTTTTGTCTGTTGACATGTAAAGTGTTTACTACCAACCCTTTTCTAATAATGATTAAAGATTCAACTTTATTTATACTAATTAATTTATCAATATAGTGTGTTGGAATTTTTTTTAGCAGATATCTATCACAAAATTAACTGACATTCTAATATGACAGATATTTTTTTAGAATTAATCACTTTTTATAAATTATTGATGGACATAGTAATTGTTAAAAGGTATGAGTAGAGATATGTAACAAGAAAGAAATTCTGACGTGCTTAATTAAAAAATTCTTTATATCTGCGAAACATTTTTCATGTAATTATTTTTTAAAAAATTACTTTTTGAAGAAAAAAAATAGCAGTTATAGATTTTACTTCAAGTAAAGCTCTACTAACTGACTTCAATATAAAAACATATATTGCAATCATGAAGGTCGGAAAATGGTGCTCCTTGATTGCAATTGTAGTGAAATGCTTCAGTCAGATATGATTCTTCAAAATTAAGATTTGATTGAAAAAGAAAAGATTTTGCATTCCATTCTCTTGTATATTTTTATTATAATCATCTTTATGAAATTGTACTTCATATACTTTAAAATTGAAACTTGAGAAATCAGAGGAGAAAATATGTAATTCAGTTTATGAGATTTTGAATTTGCCAAAAAGCATTAAAAATTAATCAAAGTAAAAACGTCATTGGGGCCGAAGCGAATTTCGATCGTAATTGCTCATGGTTTCAAACAATCCATGTAAGAATTAAGGAGATTCAAATGTGACATTTTTTAATTGTGCTGTATCCAACTAATATTTTAATGTATTTTCTCAACGTAGAAATTTGCTCATATTTTATGTGAATTTTCATCAATAAAATCTTATAATTTATCTATCAACGATTGAATAGATGGTATTCTTAGGAAAATCCAAATGTTTATTCTTAGGGGCCGGGATAGCCTGGTTGGTAGGGCACTGGGCCCATGTCCAAGAGTTTGCAGGGTTCGATTCCAGGTCGGCCAAAGACTCCTCTTGTAGTAAATGGTGACTGATACACGTTAAATCAGTCGAGTCGCAAATTCCTCCACGTTCCCATAACAAATCAATACCTCTGGTGGTACTGATGCAGGAGTTTCCTTGTCTTCAGGATTGGTTCAAACTACAAGGCTACGGAGTTTAATATTAGCAGTCATAAACCCAAAATTATCGCCTATTGAACTACTGATATAAAATGTTTATTCTTGGCTAAGGGTTGGAAGTAAATGAAAGATAAGTGGCAAATTTTAAATTTCAAAGAAAGTTATAACTTTCAGGTAAAAATAAGAATTATTAGGCATTAACTGCACATAATTGTGCTGGTAAAATTAACGTAACTAGCAGCAGCTACTAGAAATTATCATAGATGGCATTGCTTTTATAATATTTTGGTTTTGTTAAGGGAGGGGAGAATTTTTAATTCAAATTCGCTGCAATTTATGCAAAAACAGATGTGCCCTGTATCATTGAATTTTCTTTTTTATTTGAATTTCATTGTAAATTAACAAATTCCAATATGTTAATATTTACAATAATTGTCCTAGTATGATAGTTTCTAAGGGTGAATTAGAGCCCTTATGCATCTTACTATTTTAGAATATGAAATCAAATTATTTCAATTTATTTTAATGCAATTAAAAGAGTAAAATAAAAATACGAGAATTTTTAAGCAATAGTGAAAAAAGGTGACATTCAATTTTTATTTTTTTTAAATTTTATGTTGCATTTAAAATTATTGAAACACTACAGTTCAAAATGTTAAGTTCTAATTAAGAAATATATATTAAACGAAATTACAATTTTAAAAAGAATGCTGAATCTTCAGATTGACTCTTATTAAGAACTGATTCCAATAGAAAGTTCAATAAGTAATGATACTTAAAAAAAGGACTACATAAATTAATTAAAAAAATTTTTTTTTTTATTTAATATTAATCTTTTATACATTATTACTCTTCTAGTTTAATTTGCAATTCATGTTAAATTGGTAATTTGCAAAGACGTGTTTCTGATGTTTTATATTATTGCGCATAGTGAGTTCAGCTTTTTTTTCAAAGCTGCTGGGGCATGTCGGTAAGAATAAGAACTCGCTACCGCGCAAAGGAATATGCTAAGACACAAATTGTCCTCCCCCCCTTTTTTTTCTTCCGTTTAAAACGGAAGTGTCGACGATTTGGAATATTGTCAGTGTCAGTGACGTAAGGTATAAAACTATCAATTCAGCGAAATACCAGAGCAGGTAAAGGATATATGACTTCGCTCGTTACTTAGATTGAAAGAAAGTCCCGCAGTGAACTGATCGTTAAGACACGGTTCCCAGAAGATCACCGAAGTCAAGTATCACTGGCCGCGGTCAGTGTGCGGGTGGGTGACCACTTGGATTAGTCTGCATAGGGACTGAGGGTGTGCGGTCCTCGTTAAACTGTGCTACCGTAAAGTGCTCGACTTCGCGTGCAGGTCGTTGGGCTACCGAAACGGGGGTGCCATCCCCTCTGCAGAGGATCAAAATTGTGATGGCATGTCTTCGGATCATCCTCAGGGATTTCTCACAGACCGTCGCCAATAGCCCATTGTGCAGCTCTAGTGCGACGTAAATGAACAACAACAACGAAAGAGGAGTATTACAGTAAAGTTTGAAAAAAAAACTTTAATTAATTTCAACTCAACCAAGCGACATAGTCGGCAACGGAACTTCTACTATAAAGAGTTTTTTACTCCCTCGGCTACCGTAAAAATAATTTCAAAAAACTTTTTACTGAGTTTTGGCAACATATAGCTTAAAGAGCAGAAAAGCAGCTGTGAACTGTTTTTAAAGTTATTGTTTATGTAACGATATGTATCGTTTAATAATTATTCAAGTGTTTAAATTTCAGCGATCAAAAATTAAATGAGAAATTTTTCATGTTTGTGATTTTTACACATGTAAAAACTTTTACTGAAAGTAATCCTTGTGTCAACTTGACCAAGGCGGAAATCACCAAATTCCTGTCTTATATGTTTTTATCCCTCAGTGACCAACACCTGTCAAATATTTAGAATAAATATGTGTGCGTTACCTCTTTCCAAAGTTCTTCCTCAGCGAAAATCTAATAGCTTAGATGCAGAGCGAGAGACTTTCGAACGCTCTCAAGTGAGTGGTTATTTTAACTTTTTTAAAATAACTATAACAAGCTTAAACTTTTTACGCCTTAGTCATCCTCCCTCCAGCATTTGTCTGTCATGCAGAACTGATTGTTTCAAGTTAAAAAACTTAGGTTCACTGTTCACGCTCTTTTAGTCAAAGCATTATTGGAACGTGAAACGTTTCTTTCAGCGATGTCACATAGTTTTTCAGATTTTAACATTTTATCAGTGGGGCTAAAGATTTTTGAATGAATATGGTTAAAATCCCATTCCTATATTTTATAATTATCTTTCTAAATTTCAGTAACTATTTTTAGGGTTGCAAGTTTGTCGCTGTTTGAATTTTCGTGATGATTTCCACGAATTATTTATATATATTTTTTTTTCTTCTAAAATCTGCAAATTTTTTCAAATGTTATAATTGAAGTGAAAATTTTTGAAAATGAATGTGAGTTTTTTTTCTTCTCATTTTACAGTACATTTGCAATAATTAGTAATTTTGTGAAATGTATACCTAATTAATATAATATATTAACCTAATTAGTAGTATACCTAATTAATATAAAGTAAACCTAATTAATAAATAAAATACAAGGTATACCTAATTAATGTATACCTAAATAATATATAATGTGTACATAAGTAAATATTTAGGGGAATGGATCTATACCATAGAGACAAAAAAGTAGTTAAAAGTTAAACCAAATTCTGTCAAGTTAGTTGATTTTTTTATTCTTTATATCATTAATTTATAAATGCACTTTGCCACCTTGAAGTGCAATAAGTAATACAAAAAAAAATTGTAGTTAGTAGCTCTTTTTTAACCAGAAAATTTGCTGAAATGAGGGACTTAAGACATAACACTGCTCAATGAAATTAATTTCTTATCCATATGTCTTGACAAACATGAGAAAATGCTAGCAAACAAATATTGCATAAATGGTAAAACAATATTAAGTATATTGAAATAAAAATTTTTTCATTCAATAAAATATTAATATTTCATGAAATTAAAGTAACAATTTTGCCAGCTCTTTTATATGCTTTTATTTTACTATTTCTACTGTGGTCATTATTTTTAATGCATATATTGTGTATTTAATTATTTGTACTTGTGTTATCTTGTATTGTTTTTTATGAATTTTAGTGTTTTCTTTCTGCGACAAACATGCAACCCTAATCATAATTCTATTGTCGTTTTTTTGTTATTAATTTTTCTTGATGTGTGTTAGCCGAAAAGAAAAAGAGAATGGTTTTTTAATTATTAAGTATTTATGTAAGACCATAATTATTAAATTGTTAAACATTTATTCTATAAAATATTTTATTTTAAATTAATTTATATTTTATTTTGATAGTAAAAAATTTTTGAAAGATATATTGATTTTTAACAGATATTTAGTGAAACACTTGCTGCAAAAATTATTATTTTTTTTTAACAATTTGTCTTCACTAATTTTTTTAATTCGTGAGAGTTTAATAATTTTTATCCTATTATATTAATTATAGAATAAAGTAGTCACTGGCCAGCATGAGCCCGAATGATTTAAGCTAGTGTTTTTGGTATCTGTTTTGTTATAAATATTTTTTGAGAAATAAATAATCGGAGTTTAGCCATAATAATGATTTTACAAACTGAGTTTAACCGTAATAAGTATCTAAAAAATGTTTGCTCCTAACATTTTGTTTTATTTCCAGAGCATCAGTATATCCAAAGCTATAAATTGTCAAGAATCACCTGTTAAAGAAAAGCATGTTCGGTGTATCCTTTTATGTTTAATTTTTTTATTTTGTTTCACTAATCATGTAATGTATGATATTTAAAAAGTATGTTAAAAAAAAAAAAAATAATATAACTTATTTCGATTTATGTAAGTTAGATTATTTGCTAAAATCAAAGGGGAAGGAGAATTTTTATGTTTGAATAAAAAAAAAGTTAGTTTAACAATTTTGATATTATTTAATACTTATAGGATATTTTATGACGCCCGGTGGCTGAGTGGTAGCGCTTCGCGCTGCCGTGCCACAGGTCCTTGGTTCGATCCCTGGGCCGGGCAAGGCCGACTCAGCCTTTCATCCCTTCAGTGGGTCGATAAAATGAGTACCAAGCATGCTTGGGAACTAACACTGGGGGTTCCGCGTTCGGCTGACCACCTGACCGGAACATATGCTCCTGCACCCCAGAGCCCAAGGTCAAGAAAACTGAGATGGGCACAGTCGGCCTTGGCCCTCTTAATGGGCTGTCGCGCCACTGAGTTAGTTTTTTAGTTAGGATATTTTATAAAAATATATGTATTTTTTAAACTTTCAAATTTTAAAGTCTACCTAAATCATATGTTCTAACCTTTATGCTTTATTCAAGGCAAGCAGTTTTTGACACATTAGCATGAAAACTCGAAATCACTGAAAATGTATTGTATCAAGACTGTTAAGAAATGCTATCACATTTCCTGATGCCCATTTACCAAAAGATTTACTGAAATTATCTATTTTAAAACTTTTTTCCTTTTTTTTTAAAAGAAAAATTTTTTTCTTTAGGCTTATCTGTTAAAAAGAATGTTAGTTAGAAATTTTTTTTTTTCTTCTTCCTCTTATTGCTACATCTCTGACAGCTAAACGTTAATTCTGTCCCAATAAGCGTACTAAAAGGGTTCTTGAAAAAAGAACAGTCAATAAAAGAGAAACTTTGGACGTGCAATTTTCCCATGTACATAATATTTCTACCTTAAACACATTTTTAAGTTTAATTGTAGTTACTACTTAAGTTTCTATTCGTTAGAATTTTCAGTTGATTATTTGTTGTGCAGCAAAATATATATCAGAAATCTAATTTTTCAGGTTAGTCAAAATAGATATAATGTTAACTGATGGAGAGAAAAAAATATTGATTTTATTTATTATTTTCATCTCTTTAAAAATCTTTATTTTTTATGTATAGAATCATTATATACCTTATCTATATAATTTATCTTTGCATTTCATATATTAGTTTCTGTTTCCTGCTTTGTTTCCCCTCTGTCTCTATTTTTAATTAACTTTTTTCTCATCAACATCGACGATAATAATCTACCAATATAGCATTTTAGTTGAACTCGTGTTTGAACAGATAATAGTGATGATTTAGTGGTGGCAAAGTAATTGAAGTAATACCTTTAATTATTTATTTATTTTTTATGAGTGCAAGTTCAATAATCCAGCATAAATTTGCTTGTTTAACGCTAAATTGTTTTTGTTTTTTTAAATTTTATTTACGGTTAAGGAATTGCCGATAATTTTTTTAAAAGTCAATCAATACTGCCTGAATAAGTAATAAATGTTAAGATCAATTGTGATGTGATGCATAGAATTTTAGTGCATCAAGTGTGAGATTATAATTTTTAGAGGTATTTTGTTTTGAATAAAGTTCGAGAATGTTGTGTTAGCTCTCGAAGGAAATGTGAAGAGAAGTAAATTTGTTTCATGTCAAAAGATTAAATATGGTTCTGGAGTCAATTTTATAAATAAATGCATTTTTTATCCCTGTGCACCTGCTAAAATGTTGATAAATTTGATTAAAGAGTAGCATAAGTCTCGGAGCTATTTTGTAGAAAAGAAATAAGATTTACACTTTGTATGAGAGTAACTTCAATGTGTTTATATTTTATGTAGTTACTATTGCATCTATTTTTGCTGTAAAATTTATATTGGCATGTGTGATCATGTAATTTTTATAGAACCTCATGCTGATCATTAGCAAGCTGTTGCACATGTAACAACACTTGATATAAATTTACAGTATTTTGTTATTTGCTGTATGAAATGCAGATTTAGATTTGTTAAGCAGGTAATAGTTTTGTGTGCATTGATATATTTTTACGAAATTTGTAGCTGTGTGGTAAATAAATTGTTGCCTAACGAAAACATTTGATATAGATGTTTGGTGATCTTTAAAAATGGCTCTAATAAAAATGAATTTCAATATTTGTTTCCATTTCTGACATGTGACAAAATTAACTCAAACAAAAAAATTTCGAAAATTGAACCAGAGTGTATCTTTTTTTTTCATATTTCTTTGAATTTATCTTAATAGCTGTGATCATTTGGTACTTTCAGTTTTATTTTATTAAATTTATTTACTTAATTCAATTTAATAATAACCTTCCAGTCTTATTTCTTACTTACATTGTTTAATCTTCTGTCTTCGAATAAAAATATAAATTATTTTACTGGAAATAAAGAGAATGTGAAATCTTTATTCATGCATATTTGTATCATTTTTGTATTTCCTTGACTTTAATTTAATAGCTGCAATCATTGGTACTTTCAATGAAAAAGCTGCTGGAACTTTTTGGGGTGTTGTTTTGAAGCTCCCTTTGCAAGGCAATCCTATTGTATGTTGGAAGTTCTGCCATGTTTTACACAAAGTTTTAAGAGAAGGGCATCCTAATGTAAGTTTTTATTTTAATGTATATTTTATATGAAGGGTTAAAAAAGTCTTGGAATCTCTGTTGATCATGTGATGTTTATGTGTATGATAAGATAATAATGGTGTTGTTATTTATTTATTTGTAATGGAATAATTTTTTCTGCTGTAGTATTTAGTTTTTATATAAATGTTATGATACCAGCAAAAAGTTATTTATTTTTATCATATAGATAAGTTGAACAAGTTATTAAGCTTAAAATTTTGTTGTTCTTTCTCCCTTTAGTGATTTTTGATTATCTGGCTTCATTTTTCTCAATTAAGTATTATTCTTTAAATACCTAGTGTAATTTTGTTCATGCTCTGTATTCTTAGAATTCTTAATTAGAATTTCTTGCCATAATGCTTGTTTTCCAATCAAAGTAATTTGAATTAAATTGAATAATGCTGGTGAAGAAGTTTTAAGTATCAATTATTTCTTCAATTTATTTATTATTGCGAAATAGTCATTTTTAATATTTAACTAAAATTTTATAGGCTATTTTGGACTCCCAGAAATATCATACAAGTATAAAAGATTTAGGAAAATTATGGGTAAGTAAAATATTATTTTATTTGTAAAAGTTGTTTGTTTTATTCTACCAAGAATCTTTTTAAAATTAATTTTATTGATGTAAAAATAATTTTGTATCATTGTAACCTACTAAATTTTATGAACCAAAATTTCAGCAAATTTGGTTGAATATTCAGAGAAATAAGTAATTTAAGATACATCTATTATTAAAAATTATAAGCGATTTACTTTTATTGCTATTTATATTAATGTAATATAAATGTTTGCTGTTTTGTTCAAATTCTGGTATGCTAAAGTATGCAAACTTTTGTCCTAGTAAAGTATGTAAATTTTGAGGCCCTAGAATTCTGTATAAAAATAATTTTTGAAATTGTAAATAGTTAACATTCTTAAAATATCACTGTAAAATTAAAATTCCATTTAACACATTTGAGAAATAGAAATAAAATGTTTAGCATTGCAAATGACAATAGAAAAAGACTAAAAAATTTAGAAATCAGATGTGGGCAATTGTTTTTTAAAATGCAGTAAAAAAAGCATGAAATACATCATGCAACATTCACTCATCATTCTGATTATGTGGGTCAAACGTAGAAAGTAAGCCTCTGCATTAATGGTAATAACTTTGCAATGATTAATAATTCAATAGCTCTGTAAGTACCATGAATTGCCTCCGCATTCATGGTATTAACAGGGAAACTAGTAAAGAATAGAATGAAAAGAAAAATCTAGCGGTATTCTTAGATACAGCTAGTTTTTAAATCTTTGATTGTGAAGTCAATATTTTCTTCATTTCTCCTGATATGTATTTGAAATTTAAGGTATTTAAATATTTTCTCTATCCCCTTCAACTTTATATTATCCAAATTTGAATGTAATTACATCATTTTTATTACAAAAAACATTATCACAATGCTGATACTAATTATTATTTAAAAAAAAAACTTTTTAAAGTTTAGAACGTATCCTATTCAGATTTGTTTGGGGATCAGAAGGCATTTCTAAGAAATAAATTTTATTTTATTTGTTTATTTTTTGTGCATAATAATTTAGAGTTTAAAGTTAATTAATGCTATAAATTTGGGTTAGTAAGATACCTCTTCTTAAGTCTTATAAAAATATTTTTTTGAATATGCTGTTGCGATCTATTATTATGGATATGATTATTATTTTTATTTTATTATCAGGGTCTTCTAAAAGATGGTTATGGAAGATTAATCCAATGTTATTGTACACTTTTATTGGCCAAATTAGAATTTCATAGAAAGGTTAGTTACTACACTTTTACTTCCCAGTTTACTTTTATCAAAATGCATTGTTACTAAATGATTGAATGGCATTCTTTTTTGTTGCCCTTTTACAGTTTTAATAAATGTCTATTTTAAAAAAATTCTATATTTTTATCCAATAGAACCCACGATTTCCTGGTAATTTGAATGTGACAGATGAGGAGTTAGATATTATTGGCGAAAGAGATGTTAATGTTTTGTAAGTAGGAAAATTCATAATTTTTACAACTCTTTTAAATTTAGTTTCGAAATAAGTAACTCTTAGTTTCTATTTTTTCTAGTTTTCAAATGAGCTGTGAATTTTTTGATTACATGGATGAAATTCTTGCACTTCAGAATGCTGGTATTTATTTATTTAGATGTGCTTACAGTTAATTTTTTTATTTTATTAGATTTTTTTAGTATTTATTAGATTTTTTTATTGAAATATTTATTTATAAATAGTGTTTGGATCTTTGGATATGTCAAGATCAAATTCAATGACAAATTGTGGGCAATGCCGACTTGCACCTCTTATTCCTTGCATTCAAGATTCCAGTCAGCTTTATGATTATACTGTTAAAGTTCTTTTCAAACTTCATGCTGGTAATTGCCATTGTTTTTGTTGGATTAATAAACTTCTTATATTTATGATATTTTAGAGTTTAGAAAATATATTTTATTTGTGCTACCAAAAAATAAACACCTATATTAAAATTTAACTTAAATGAATTTTCAAACAAATTTTAAGATAATGTGCCAAAAAAAAAAAAAAAAAAAAGATTTGTGAATGAAATTATATAATATTTCTTTGCTTGAATGTATGTACTAAATACATCTTTTGCCATGATCCATAATTTCTTTTAAGCCTTGAAATTTGTTTCAATTATTTAATTTATACATTAATGTTTGTTATAAACTTATTTCAATTATTTGATTTATATACTTTTGTTTAATGAATTACCTAAAAATGTCCGTAAGAAAGCTTGTTGAAACTAAAGTGGCTATTGCATTGAAAAAATCTGTTTTTTTTTTATTATTATAATTTTTTTTTAGTAATTTTATCAGTTTTATACTTATTAATTCATTTTAATGGTTATTGAATGTTTATTCTAAATATAATTGTATCATGTATGATACAATATTCAGTAAACAATTAAAAAATTTCGTTTTAGACAGATTTATTATTTATTTTTGCCATTCACTAATTATATTTCAAAGTTGATGTTTATAAATACATAAAAATATTTACTAAATTTGATCATTTCTAGCTATACAAAAAGGTGTTTTATAAAGTGATGTTTAAAAAAAAACCCGACATTGCTAAGTTCATCAAAATATATGCTTTATTTTTTATCAGAAGAGAAAAAATGTCTGTAAATCTTTTAGGTGATTCTTATGTATAAATTCTATTCTACAAGTGGCTGTTCCACTTGTTAGATTAATGAATTCAAAATTTCATAAAAATGTGTAGCCAGATATGTATGATATATTGAAAAATATTTTTCTTTTATTTTCTTAAAGCTTTTATTTATCTTGCTAAAAAATATTCATATTTTTCTTGTTTGAGCACAAATCTTAACAAGATTGTTATTTTAAAATGTTTTCAGCTCTACCTCCTGATACCCTTATTGGACATAGAGAACGTTTTTTAAAACAATTCAAAAGGTGAGTGAAATTTTTTTCCCTTTGTTATTTTTAAAACTATTTATATTTTAATGCATATCCAAAATTCCTGCTTTGCAGTCTAAAATGTTAATTGAAAATGAAAATAATGTATAATAATTCTTAATTATTATATCAATTATTTCTCTTTAAATCCTCGTTACTATTTTAACATAAATATAACAATTATATTTTCAAGAAGAAAAAGAATTATAATAATTTTTTATTGGTTTACTTTATCATTTTTTTTTGCATTTTACCATTAGTCTATAGATATATTCAATTAAAAACAATAATAGCTACTACTTAAAATTTCTTAAAATACACCAATAAATGTATTGTAATAATATTGGTGAATCTTAAAACAAATTTCATAAACTAATTAAATATTGCATTTCATTTTTGTTTTGTTTCTAAACTTATTTTACTAGTTTATTTCTTTGTTCAGAAAGTAAACATAGTTGCTAGTCTAATTTTTGTTTTATTTGAATATTTAAATTTTAGCTCTAGCATCAGAACCATCTTTTTTAAATATTTGTGTGTATCATTAATGTCAAACATCACAAACATAAATTATTTTATTTTGCCTTTGCTGCTGGTTAAAATCTTCGTAATTGATCTTTTGCAAGAATTAGTTTATTATCGAAGTTTTTTTCTTTTCTTTTTTTCTTTGTAAAAATGATTATGTGATCACCATCATCAGAGGGAGTAAAACAAAATTATTTTAAAATGTTTTCTCCCAAACAATTATTATTATTCAGGGGTCTGTCCAGGCCAAATTTACAACCGTTTACCGGTACCTTTGCAAATTCAACTTCAGGAAAAATGGTAGTTTCACAAAATACTTTTTCTTAAAATTTTATTTTTGTATCCCGTAAAAAAAGATAAATCCATATTTTTACCATATGTTTGTGTTGATTTTTTAATATAATTTTTAATTTTCACAAATTATGTCTAAATTTTCCCAAAATAGGTACCTCTCAGAAAAACCTAGACAGACCCTTGTTATTGGTAAAAGCTTATGTTATTAAGAAAAATAGTAATAAAAATTTCAAATTTAAGCAACTAGAACAATCAAATGCAGTTTTTTCAAAAGATTTAGTAAAGATATTAATGAAAATACTTATTTCAATATTTTATAAAAGCTTACTTTTCAACATTTTGGTATTGTTTATTTTTAAATTATACTCAGATATTATTGTCAAAATCATTATCTTTTCAAAAAAAAAAAAAAAAAAAAAAAAAAAAAAAAAAAAAAAAAAAAAAAANAAAACAAAAAAAAAAAAAAAAAAAAAAAACTGTCTAAAGGAAACGTTTTAGTAATTTGTTAATTGAACCAAAAAGGAATTAATGAATAATTTGTGTTAAAGAAATTAAGTTATCTATTATTAAGGTAATTTTTAGTTAATTATCAAATTTTAAAAAAATAATTATAATAAATAGGTATAAATATGTTATGTTTACAGAAATGAGTCAAGTCATTCTAATTTTAACGATTGTTGCAGTATGTAAATTATCATTCAAATAAAAAAGTGGTTGTATTAACATCACAGAAAATGCAGCTATATTGAGAATAACTATGTTTACCACTTACTTCTTTTTTATTTTCTTTTTGTGTTCTTTACCCCAGTTTTAATTATTTATTTTGACAATTCACTCAAAATGAATTACTGTTATTTTTGATTTTTATATTAGTTGCTTTGATTTAAAATTATTATTGTGTGTATGTATATATATATATATATAGTAACATGAAATATTACTTAAGCTTTTTTCTTCAATAAACATAATTTTATAATTTCAGTCTGCAACAGTTTTATCTGAATGCTACTAATCTACAGTATTTTAAACATCTAATACATGTACCATTGCTTCCTGAGGTGAGTCTGCTGTAATTTATATTTATTGTTTCATCCTCTTGTATTTTTTATGAATAGAAAAAAGATAGTTATTTTGAAAGATAACAGGGTAAAATAAAATGATGAAAAAATATTTTAATTGCTTTTAAAAATAATTTTTCCTAAATGCAAAATATTATGTGCATAATTAAAATAATAAATTAAAAATATATTTTGCATCTTTATAAATATAATGTGCAAAAGTCTCTTTTATTTGTGATATTTTTAGTTAATGTGAAGTATGTTTTGTTGAGAAGAGAGGCAAGTAAGATAAAAATGCAATCTGATTAAAACAGAGAAAAGAGATATGAATAAATAAACAGTCCTCCATTATAATTGAAATTGTATTACTTAAAATCAGTCTTGATGATTGTGCCAAAGTATATTCCTAATACACTAATAAATAATCGTGTCATGATCCTTAATCAGCCAGAACAAATGAATTAAATATAATAAATAAACGTAAATGATTTAAAGTTTTTGTGCTTCTCTTTTAATTAAATATTTAAATTGACTGCTATCTATATTCATTTTTGCAGTTCTTTGTTTTTATAATGTTTATTATTATTCAAAGTGATGTTTTGTAATTAAATGATTGCTCAATATTATCATAAAATAGTATCCTCATTTGCATAAAATTTTATCATAATTTTCGTCTGTTTTTCCGTTTTTCTGATGATTTATCTTTTTGAAGCACCATAATGAAATTAGTTTTGTATCTGTACATTCATCTTTTAATACATTTTATGCAAAATCAGGTTTTCTCACTGTTTGAAATGAAAATAAACAAAATAAGTATTTGAAATTAAAAAGTAATATTGGGAGGGGGGATTTTCTTAGTGTTGTTTGATATCTTTGACTGAAAGCATTAAACATATTTTTATATCAACTTAATAAAATAAATCAAAATTTAAACAATAGCTTAATGTGAGAAATTGGAATGTCTTATAACAAGCTTTTTTTCATAACAAAAATTTGTGAGCCACATTTTCCAAAATTTTTATGGTGGTAACAGAACAATATTGGCTTATAAATCTTATTTTTAAAATAGTAGTTTCTAAATAAAGTTGTATAGATTTACACAGTGATCATCCTAATATAACCAGAAAATAACTCTATGAAAGAATTGTTTAGTGAGTGTAAAGTTAAGGTTAAATGTATTTAAGAAATCTTAACTTAATAAAAATTGTTGGTATCTTTTTGTTGTATCGTTAGTATGACAATTGTTGGTATTATATCTTTTAATAAAATAGTTTTGGCCTTTAAAGGAACTATGTTGTGCTTTGAGAAACAACAATAGTTACTGAGTAGTCATGGTATGAGCAAATGGTTAAGGCCCTCTTATATTTTACTTAAGTATCTGTTGTATAATCATGCTTTTTTTTGTTTAAAAATTTTAATTTAATTTTAAATAAATGAATGTAATTTCTTTGATGTTTATACTGTAAGCCAGCTGAGAATAAATGATTCTGTGTAATTGTATTGTAAGTAGGAATCTTATCACAGTATTTTTTTTAAAAAAAGTTTCATGATAAAAAAAAACCTTTTAGTGTGTTCATATATTTAAAAAATTTTAAATTTTTGAAGCAATTATTGTTATTATTTTTTTACAGAACCCTCCAAATTTTTTGATTGCGTCTGATTTGAGTGCTCACGTGAGTCCAGTAGTTATATTGCCTCCTCACACGGATACGCCTGAGAATGAGACCGTAGATATGAACTTAGTTGATACCACCGTGCCAAAAGTAGCTGTAAGTAAATAAATTAATTTCTTGTTGATTATTGATTGCTTATGAGTTACTCCTATATGAATTAGTTCATCATTTTTCTTTTAGTCCTTAAAACTTTAATAAATATACAAGATGTGCCAAAAATTAGACAAAATTTAAAAATTCATTTCTGTTTCCTATAGGAAGATTAAAATAGAACTAAAGTATTTTTATCCAAATAATTGATCTTTATTTGTATACATAACAAGATATGAAGAAAATATAATAATACATCAATACAAGACAGCTTAAAAAATAAAAAATTTGATTTTTTAAAAAATTATCACTGATACTTATTTATTTACTTTTTATTCTAGAATATCCCATTATTTATTTAGGTTCCATTATTTCTACTTTTTATTTATAATCTATCTTATTTTTGTCCCTTGGAGGTTTGTCTTCTTTAGGTAAACATAGGCCTGTATTCAGAAACCTTGTTAATTGAGGTTTGAAGAAGCACATGCGTAGATAAATCTTATATCTGTTTTCAGAAACCATACTAAATTTGAAAAAGAACGATCATGCTTTGAAAGTGGCAACCTTGAATTCCAAGATCTGTAGAATGGTCGGAGACCTGACTAATGTCATCAAGAGGCAGAATGGATTATTATCAATTTGAAAATAACATTTTAAGCATACTAAACTAATTTTTTAGATAGGTTTCACTAAAAAAATAGTTCTAGATTACTAAGAAATGGACTAAGGACTTAATGAGCATTGCTCATAATCCTTCTGCCATTGTATGCAAAATTATAACAAAATTATATATATACAAAATTATAACTTAATCATAAATACCCTTCCCCCTTAAGTGTTTTCATAATATTTTAATGGTCCCAAAATTTCATTATAGTTATGCCACTTTTGGTTTTATAATTTCTAAAACCTTTTATAAAATTAAGTTACTATTGAAATAGAATTAAACCTTGCAAGCTAGGATTTTTCCAATTTTAAAAACAAATTTTAAGTAATAATTTGGCTTTAATATCCAATAATCATGTAAGTCAACTAAATTCTAATACATATTTTGCATTAATCAATATAAAATTTGTTGAAATATGGCTGACTTAGTACCTTTACTTTAAACATACATTTTTAATTGTTTATGATTGTATTTTTTATTTTATCTTGTTATTTTTTTTTTGAAAGTGAAACAATAAGTAATTATAATTTATAATTTTTTAAACAATAATTTTGATTTTATTATTATGTGTTTATAAATAACTAGTTTACATCATTTTGTAAAAAAAAAATAAAAAAAAACTTTATTGACATTAAGTCGCCAACATTTTTAGTGTTTAAATTCTTACAACTTCTCTTTCTTTAATTTCCCCTCTCCTAGGAATATTTTGAATTTCCTGTGCGATGTTTTTGAACTGAATGTCGTCAAACTTAATATTTCTTGAGTTCAATAAAAATCTGCTGGATTTACAGTGGGCATAGTTGCTAAGCTCATGGTGGACGTCAATTGCTGTTTTTTATTTGCAAACAGACAGTAACAGGCCTCGACATAAGAAGATTGATGCTGAAAAATAATTATCATAGCCATTATGCTGTTTGCAGAGTAAAGCTTAAAAAATCTCCTCCTTAGCCCAACCACATTTGGTTTTATGCCTGGGGCTAATTTAACCCCCCCCCCCTCCAAAAAAAATGCAAGTCCTTGCAAAAATAAATATATTAAATAATTTTGAGGATGCAGTATTAATCCCTAAATTCTTAAACTTAAGGATGGTTTCTAAATACAGGCCATAGCTACAATAAGCCCCATTGATTTTTCCCCTTTTAAAAAAATATATATATATTTTGTCAATAATGTTGTTTAATTTGAGTATGTGAATGCACTTCATCTATTTGTTCAAAAGTTGGGTCTTGGATTTTTAAATTTGTTAAAGATTTTTAAATATTTTTGCTTCTATTATCACACAGAATTCAATCATTTCCTGTAATCGCTGCTACTATATTTTCTAAAGTTCATTGTAAAATTTGAAAGGAAATTAATAAGCTATTTAAAATTATTTATATATTTTAATTCATTAGGCAAGTCCAGATGTTTTAGAGGGAGTGTTTAGTCATCGAAATTCTGTTGATTATCCGAGAAATGGGTCAAGCTCTCCTGACACTATGAGTGAAAAGTAATTTTTTTAACCTAATTATTTTTATATAAATATATGTTGTAAGTAATAATTCTCATTATATTATTTAATTCTTTTTGTAAATTATTTTTTAATTTGCTTAATTTATTAAGTATATATTTTTTTTCTTGTTCCAGAGATCAATTAATCGAAAGATTGCAAAGAGAAATTGAATTATTAAGGATGGATTTACAAAGGAATAAAATTGAAGTACATGACTTTGTTGAAACATTATTATTAAAAATTATTTATTAAAAAATACAATATTTGCTTGTTTCTGTAAAAGATATAAAAAAATTAGAAAATTGTGTAACATTCTATATTTTCTCTAATATGTTAGCCATTCATAAATTTAAAATGTTTTAATTTTTTCCTCTCACTCTTTAATGTTGTGACGTTTATTTTTTTAAAAAATAAATAAAAGAAAGTTCATGTAAATTTTAAAATTGCCTTTGAGTTTTGAACTTTTGATAAAAAAAAATTGCATTAGAGTTATAAATATATATAAATCAACATTGGTCAACAAGTACTTTGCATGCTAGAATTTGCATTCAATGGCTTTCAGTGTGGCATATATGCCCAAATTTAATGATTTTCTTATTTTACTGAATTTTTATTTATTAATTTATTTTAAAAATCTATCTACATTTATAATGGTTATGGGAATTGTTTTAAGTTTGGGAAAAAAATTCCATTGTTGTTCAGTGCCTTAGAGGTTTATAAAATTTTTTTATTTCTTATTAAATTAAGTGGTCATTTTTTTACTAACCATTTTTCTCAAGAGAAGATATAGTGAGCTATATCTTCCAGAAACTAGATATAGTGAGCATAAAAATCTTCTGAATCGAAAAACATTATTGAGTTATCTAGTGAATACTTAAAAAAAAAACTTTAACATTAAACAAAAGTTTTTTCATTTAAATAATGAAAAAAAATCCAACATTTTATTTTTTCATCTTAGAAAAATGTATTCAGCCAGAAAATTTTGATCTGTAGGATAATATTGCAATTTTTAATAAGCTTTGCTGAATGATTGGGAAGATGTCTTTCTGTGACAGTAGTTAGTTGTTGAAAAATGAGGAGTGGGTTGGATACTCAGGTGCAATTCATTTAGTCAATGTCAAAACTTTTAAGAATTAAATCTAGCGAGGCTGTCAAAAAATAGGAAAAATAATGAAGTGAGGAAAGCATGCAACAACAATGTGAAAAAGGATGTGTATGAATTTTATTTTTAATTTGTTTTAGAATAGAAGGAGAATGACATTTGCTTTGAAGAGGCAACTTAATAAAAAAAGAATTTTTATTTTATTTTAAACATTCCTTTATTAAGCCACATTAAGTCATCCAAAACAATTTACAACCTCTTCCAAACAAACACCAGTCTCGTTCTGTTCTAAAACAAAATAAAAATCTCATGCAAAATTTTTTGATATTGTTGCATGCTTTCCTCATTTCATTATTTTCCTTGTTTTTGTCAGCCTCACTAGATTTTATTCTTAAAAGACCTGACAGTCAGCAAAGTGTTAAGCTTAAGAAAGTTATTTTGAAATCTTAGAACCTAATTTTTTTCTAACAACTTTAAATATTAAGTAATTTAAATTTTCATTCTACTTTTTATTTCCTTTTATCATTAAGCTCATTTATCTGTTATTCTTATGGATCTGTTTTCTAATTTATTTCTATCGATATTTGTTTTTATTGCACAAATAGAATATTAGATTTTTTTAAATTGTGGTATGGTAAGAGTGTAAAGGCTTGCATAAGATTATTTCTGCCATAAGTTGCTCTCAGAGTTAGACAAGTCTGTTTAAGTTCATCTTAAAATTTTTAAATTCGAAATTTTTTTTTAAACATTTGCGTCATATTTTCTGTATTCCTCTAAAAATTTTTATTTATTTATTTAGTATGAAAGGAAAATTGATGATTTCAAACGTCAGTTTGTTAATCTGGAAGCTCATATTTCTGAGCAAGAGCAAATTATAAGAAGTTTGAGAGAAGTAAGTTACTATAATTGAGTTCATATTTGTCTTCCTAATTTAATTCACAAGTTTTATACGTACATGTTTATATTCAATTTAGGAAAATGAGAATATGAAACAGAGTGTGTCTTCAGAAGAAGTATCATCTGAAGTTGTCCTAAAGCTCCAGGAAGCTGAAAGTCAGTATTTTCTCTAGTTTTTTTTTCTTATTAATAAGTGTCTATTATCTCCAGTGAGCTATCCCTTTCGTACCCCAAAAAACTACTTATGCAGTTCCTTTTCGATTACTTCACTGGTTTACTGATACTAAAACATCATAGTCTAGTATTTTCATTTAAGCAATATTCTCATAGATAGACCAAATCTGCTTGGTGTTTCAACAGTGCCTCCCAGGTACTATTGTTCCTGTTAAGACATTAATACAAATTAGCAGTCCAGGCTAATTCTTATTATATGTCTTAAATTATGGAAAACAGCAGTGCATATAAAAGTTAATTTAAGTATTGATATTACCCCTGTATATGAAAATATACTGAACTTATCAAGTAAGAAAATAATCCTTTTTTTAAAAAATATATATTTAAATCAAGAAAAATTATCTCAATATATCATAATTGTGATATATTGACGTTTGCCACATACAACTATTGCATAGTAGGGATAAAATTTAAAAGAAGAAATAAAATTTAGCTGATAGTCAATTTTTGATAAGATGCTTGTGATATTTATTTATTTATTTTTTGTTAATGCTTGGATATACAAATAACCCTTGCATTGTCAAAATACCGATTACTTTAAACTTATGATAGTCATTTTCAAGTTGTAATTGAGACGTCAAATTTGTAAAAATAGGTCGACGCAAATTAAGACAATGCTTAAAGCTCTTTTTTTGACACTTATATATGAAACTTGCTCATAAAAGACCAAAATTCTGTGACTTATTTATCTTTTCCAAGTGTGCATCACTTCTTATGCCACAGGCTTAAAATCTGCATTGCAGTTGGTGGAAGATCTTTTGAGCAATTTCTTTTAGTATCTCTTTGAGCAATTCTATGTACATCAATTACATCTTTTTCTTTTGAGCAATTTCTTTGTACATCAATCATATTCCTGTAAATAAAAGATTTTTGAAGCATCTTTTCCCTTTCTTGTGTTGATTCTTTAAAAGTGACAGTGGAAAACTACCTCTAACTTCTGCTTGTGTTATCATACATCCTATGTGGAATATTGCTCATATTGATGCGTCCTATCCTATCTCCCAATAAATTTTTGCTGTCTTGTTCAGACTCATTGATGCATGCAGTCATTGATTTATCGAACTCAAAGGAAGAATTTTAGTTATGCTCTATAAGCTTCTACTTGAATAATTCTGTACTATAGATCTTTAAAAAAGCATGGATATCTATGTACAATAAATATTCAAAATTCTTAAGTGACTACTGGTAAATTCTAATTTTTGATTACTGGTTCATGTTACAGTTCTTCTGCTCAAATGTAAATCCAGTTAATTCTATATTATACAGTAATTGTAAAAAAATTTTAAACTTCAAAAATGCCGTAAGATACTATCATTCATTCAGTCTTTAAATAATTTATTCTGTGTAAATGTATTGAATCTTTCTCTAAAATGTATTTTTGTAATCTTTAGAGAAAGCTAAAATGCAAGAAGATAAATTCATAAAAATGAAAGAAGTGTATAGTAAACTTCGTGAAGAACACATTAATCTATTAAGAGGGGTAAGTGATCTTTTCATCTTTTGTGAATATTTAGATGGCTATTATAATTTTTACTTATTATTTCAATCACATCTTTCAGAAAGCTGAAGCAGATAAACAGAACTCAGTATTAAAGTCTTCAGTAGATTCTATAGAAATTGAAAAACAAGTAAGCAAGTGCTAGCAATTTTTTTTAAAGAAAAATACTTCTTCAATTTGACAATTTTATTATTATAATAAATTAAGAACTTTTTTTCTTTATAATTGAACTATTTTTGTATTTTAACCTAGCAGTTGGTTAAAAACTTAGTTAAATCTATTGAAATATAATTATCATCTCATTTTGTCTGTATTTTGTTTTCATGCAAAATGAAATAGGATTTGCGATGTATATTTTAAGTTGCATATTCTTTCCGATAACTATTTAGTATTTTCTTTTAATACAAATTATTTTTATATGCATTAATAAGTGGTTAATTATTTATAAATATTATATTAATAAGTTTACTGATTTAAATATAAATCTTATATGTATATATGATGCAGTCTATGCTCTTTAGTATGTCCTCCTTTTAATGCAACAATTCCATTATTACAACCGCTACATGTCGTCTCGTTTGTTGTTCTATTGATGCAATGTTATTTTAATGCCCATTAGAATGTCTTAACTAAATCATTCATTCCAATATAATGACCAAAATTGTGTTTTATTTTCTTTAATTCCCTGAAAATTACTCCACAAACATACTACTCCAAAAACATTTTAGCACTCTTAAAACTATCATTTTTTTTTTCATTGACAATGAGTCAATGCATAACAAAGTCTTGAGATAATTACTCAAACCACTATGCTTTTGATGTTACCTCTCAATAAGCATGAGAGATCTTGAATTCTCTATGAATGAAGAAAAAGTCGTAGGGCCACCTATTCTTAACCTACGAGGTCCTGGATATAATCTATGGTCAAAATAATTGTGAAATGTTAATTACCTACTATTATTGAGAATTTGAAGTGTATATTGCACCATCATTTAGAATTCGTAGTTTTCCATATAAGCACAAACTTTCAAATTTTTTTTTTTAAAGAATTCAATATATCATCAATCATATTTTTTGGCTTGAAAATTGTATTCAGTTTTTTTGTGTAAAATATTGTAAAAGGTGGTTTGTTTTGAAGTTAAATAATGTGGTATTATTTACATTCTTCTTGATTTAAGTTTTGCTCAATTTTCTGGATGTATGTTATAACCAGTATTAAGCTATGTGCTTAGAGTGGGAATGAAATAAATTTTTTTTTGAGGAAATGGATAGAAAAACAACATCAAAATCTGAAATTGCTAAATTGCAAGATCCTGAAAAGCATTTTGTTCACAATAATTAAAAATCGTGATGTAATTTTAAAGGAAGAAGAACAAACTTGTAATTTCACGCCATCATTTTTGTGAAGTTAAACTTCAAAATCTTGCAAAAGCACTTAATGATTAGCTGAAGTTTGTATGCAATATTAACAAATGTCCTTAGAAAAACATTTATGGAATTTTTAACCAATAATATACTATATTAAATAATATTAGTACTTTTAATAACTACATATTAGTCAGTTTCATAATTCTATTTAAAGTGTCAAATGTTTTTGCTGAAATAAATTTAGTATCTATAAATTATAATAAATAGTTTCACTAATTTTATGTAGTCATGATATAGCAACCTCACATTATAATGTCCATTTCCGTTTGGACCGTATGGTTCATTATATTCTTTAGAATCCCAATTATTTTTCATCAGTGAGATTTGTGACTTTTCAAAAAATTAAAATCAACAAATAGATATTACATTGAAAGTATACAAATAATACACAATGAAGACATATTTTAAAAAAAATGTGGGGCAGCACATTGGATGAGAAATTTTAAATCAATACAGTAATAATTCTTTTTTTAACTATTGCAATCTAAAGTTTAAATATCTAGGACTTCTGATTTTCTAAGTGATTTATTTATTCATTTATTATTATTATTATTATTTCTTTACTAATATTTGCATTTTTTTTGTAAAGAATTTGTCCCAAAGAGTTGTAGAGCTTATTTCATCCCAAAAAATGGAGCAAGAGAAGATGCAAAAGTCATCTAGTTGTGAAAAGGAGCTCAATGCTTTGTTAATGGAAAAAGCAGACTTGGAAGAAAAGAATCAGGTAAATGAGAGTTAATTCAAGATTTTTTGTTTAATTTAATCATTTGCAAGAACTTTGAATTTCATTATCAGGGTCATAATTTTTTTAAAAATTTTTTTTAATAATGAAGCTACTTCATCTTTAATATAGACACTTTTTTGTCTTTGAAAAATCTTCTACTAAAGACCATCGACTCTAATCCAATTGTTAAAAATATACAGAAACAGGTGGGGAGATTAATTATCATTAATGATTATAGAAAAATGCTGAATAAGAAGAACCAATTGCATCAGTCTGTAACTCTTTATGCAGCAATGCTTTGTAGAAAATAAATTACTTTATTGATATGAAATGGTCCTTCTCTAAATAAATAGTAAAGTAGAAATCAATTTTAGGTATTATCGTTAAGTACCGAACAAGAATCCAGATTTGACTAAGCCCCCACCCATACTTTCAACACAAGTATTAACTAGTGATCTAAACTGAATAAGGTTCCATTTACCTTCCACATCTAGAGTTAAATTATATAGATGCACACTGCATGTGGAAACATCTGTGTAAATTTTTACATTTTATGGGTTCTTTTTTAAATTAACAAGATTATCCAAACAATTTAAAAAATCAAGTAACAAAATTTGAATACTTACGATTTGAAAGTTACGCATCGCCATTCGAATTTGGTTAATTTAAAAATCAAACGATGTGATTTGTATTCACATGTGTTTAAAATTCAATATTGCTATTCTGTTTACACGCATCTTTAAAATTTAATATTGCAATTTGTATTCAGATGAATTTAAAGTCAAGCATCATAATTCACATTCGGGCGATTTCAGCTACATCATGATTCACATTCAGGAGAGTTCAGCCACTTCATTTGAGGGCTTTTTTTTTAAAAATTCCAATTAGTAAAGGTTGCAAATTAATATATTGTCTCCATTCTTTATTAGAGAATTTTTAATTGCTTTTGATGATGCTATTGTAATAGTTTGAAATATAAGAGTAAAGTTGAAAATTAAATTAAAGTAACATTTTTTGTTGGCAATCATTAGTTTTGCTTATTATATAATTTTACTTTTTAATTAAATCAAGTAACATTTTTGCTTTATAAATATGTTTGATTTTTTTTTTTAAAATTTGCATTTTTCCCTTGTTACCATTAATTTCTCCACTTTGTGGTGATTTTTACTAAACTTTGGTTGGTATTTTACGGTATTGTAAATTCCAGGCTAGAATCTGAATATATACTATTTAAATTATGAGAATTCAAATGTAATAATGTTTCATGTGTTAGACATAGTTTGTAAGCTTTTTTTTTTAAACAATTATTAATTTTTTCCCATTTTTCTTTGATCTTGTTTCATCATTAAAGTTTATTTCATAAATTAGCAAAATTGTAGAAATTTGAATCAGTCTTACACATTGTAGGTAGGTATACAGGGTGGTGCTGAGTCGAGTGACACAATTGAAATTTAAATATTGTGCATCCGTAATTGGTTTAGCGTGACAGGTTACTGGAAGAGAAAAGAATGCAAAATGATATGGTCAGTCATATTGGATCACAGAGCATCATGGTACCTCAATTTGTAGTTATAACAAAACTGTATCTGTGACAGAAATGCGAAATTTTTTTAGGCAACACTTTAAAGTTGGTCAGCATGGCACATACAGTTTTGAAAAATCTGTAGGCATGTTCTAAATTTTTAACAAGCCAATGTTGACAAAGTTGCGATAATTGATAATAGGACCTATCATCAGTTTAAATTAAAGCCATCTTTCCAACATTATTTCCAAGAAATAAACTTTTGAATGTTGGTCATTTAGTTGCATTTTCCAGCGTGCTTATAGACTACACTACTTTCATTTTTCCTGTTTCCATTTGTTAATATGTGTCTGTTTTGAAGGAATTGATTTGGTTGATGCCACTATGTACAATCCACAAAAATTTAATTAATATTATTCCAAATTAAATCTGTTACAAAAGAAGTTTCTTTCTATTAAAGAAAATATTTATTTGCATTAAAAAATTCAAAAGGCATAGAAAATTGAAAAGTAATTTAAACCTGATATGGCATGCTTTATAGTTAAACTAATGTAGAAGAGTTATTCTTTATTTATTTAAATATCTATGGTAAATTAATCAGTTTCATTTTTACTGTTCTTGGCGTTATTCAGGTTGTAATGTATTTTTCAATCTCATAAGTATTTACTTATTTTTTTAAATTCTAGAATTACAAGGATGAGCTTTCTATTGTACAGTCAAAGTCTTCTTCCTTAGAAAAAGAGTTGAGTGCTATTCATGAAACTGTTAAAGATCTTGATTCAAAACTGAAAGACGCACAAGTCCATTATAAATTGTTAGAAGATACCAATAAATCTGAGTCCCAGAAAAAGTTTTCCTATTTAGGTAAGTGTTGTATTTAAATTTGGATATTTTTCTAATCAATTATTAAAAAAAATATTTCTGTATTGTTTGAATTTCACTATTTTGCTGGGGCATTACAACCAATTTTAAAAATTTTTGGTGACTTCCCAGAGTTTGAAATTTGACTTTCTTTCATTTTCCATTCTAATGTGTTAAAATTTTTATAAGTGTTATATTTCTTCTTTAATTAGTTAAATAAATGTTTCTGTTAAAAAAATTTCTTTCATCCTATAGCTTTATCTTGTATATAAGCAGAATTTTTTTCTTGTGTTTTAAAATTATGGGTAAGCCTGTATCAGGAATAAAGCTACCATGAAAACCTTGCCAGTGCAAAACTCATTACTACTGACTGGCGCTTTGTACTTTTTAGATACTCTTGGTATGTTAAAGAATAAGTTTGTATGAAGCTATAACCCATCTCTAAACTACTTTAATGTTTGTATTACTCATTCTCCTTCAGTGGTTTGTATTGACCAAAATAAATGTCTTTTGAGTTGCTATCTATGAGGAAGAATCTCATAGTTGACATTTTTTTATTTTTTATTTTATTTAAACGACTTAAAACTCCTCATGCACCACAAAGTATAGCATGAGGCTTACAGTTGTAAGTAAAAAACAAAAGGAGAAAAATTTACAAATTTACATTAAAAACAAAATTCCGCAAGGCCGCAAGACTTTCAATACTTTTGACCAGTTCTGATAAGACAGGTGGCCAACAAATTGAAAGACGTCTCAAATCAGTCTTTAAATTCATTCGGGCACTCGCATAGAGACTACAGTGAAGAAGAATATGTTCAGCATCTTCATCAGCATCACCGCAAGCACAAATTCCACTGGTCTGCAGATGGAAACGAAATAAATATCTCTTAAAATTTCCATGGTTTGTTAAAATTTGGGTCAATTTAAAATCAATAGTTGACATTCAACATCATAATTTTGAAATATTTTCAAATCTTTTTCTACATTATAATTTTAAAAATGTTTGTTTGTCATAAAATTTTGAATTTGCTTAAGTTTGATTAAATACATGTAATCTAATTTTTGCAAATTCAAAATTTGATAACAGTAAAGTTTAAGTTTGATTCATTATAGAAGGAAGTTAAAAACAGTTAACAGGAAAATAAATTTTGAATATTTTTTTTAGCTTCAGTTATATTTGATGAATACATGTAATATATGACTTGAAATATATAGGGGGTCCAAAAAAAGTGAAAGCTGTTAATTATGTCAAAATCATGTGTATCAGGTCGAAAATTTAAAAATATACATATGAAATATTTTAAGAAGATGCAATCAATGATATTTAACTTTTCTCTTTGCTTATGAGAAAGGGCACATATTCAAAATTTTATAAACCTCATTCTTTATTTTACATTTGGATTTTCCAAGAAAAGTTTTATAGTTTGACTTAAATTTCTGCATTTTGGTGCATAATTAGCTCTTTAATCATTAAATAAAAATAAGATACAAATAGTTAGAAATGCAGACATCTCGACCTATCGAATAACATCAAATGCAAGCCCCACCTCCTGAGACTAGGGTATTTCAAGGGTATGTTATTGCACATTTTCTCAAGATATTTGACGGTTGCCATTCTATTTGGACACCCTGTATATTCCAATTACATAAACCATAATGTGGTTGATATGATTTTATTTGGAAATTTTAATTACCATTAATTTATTTGTACAAATACTTTAAACAATTCAACATGTTTCAAAATTTCTTCTAGATTGTGTTTTTAGAGAGTCTGAGCATATTATTCAAACTGCTGTAGATGATTTTGATAGACCTATTTTGGCAGTCAGTAATACCACTCCAGGTGAATTTTGTCTTTATTTTTTCGTACTTTAAAATTTTCAAATAACTTTATTAATTATTATATATTTTTTTTTAGAATACTTTTTGCAGCAGTTGGGTAATATAACAGTAACTACTGAGCAATTTGAAAACGCTTACTTGAAATTTTCTGATGATCCTGATGGTATTTATATTTTTGACTGAAAAGCAAATAACTAATTGTTCTCTTTTTGTATATTTTTAATTCAATAAAGCTCAAATCCAACTGTTTTTTGATAACATCTTCATAATATATCATGAGGAATTGTAATACAAAAATAAGGATTTAAAATACATTGTATTTATTATAAAATGATAAATTTTGTGTTTGAATATTTCAAATCAAAGATTTTTAAAGTTAGTGATAAAGTTGGCAAATTTATGATTAATAACATATTTGTTTATTAATTATTAGCCAAATATTAGTTCTTCGTATAAGGTGAAAAATAATCGAAGAATTGGTATTAATTAATACTTGGCAAATATGCACAAAACTAAAAAACCTCTACCAATACAATAAAATATAAGAATTTCTTTTTCATTGGGTTTTGATGTTTTATCAGATGACTTAGCATTATTTAACTAAGCAAAACTAATATTTAGAAATTTAATACATCAGAAAAAAAAAGGAACCTTAAGTAGGGCAACAAAATAAACACATGGCTTTAAACAGCTTTCAAAATATTTATTTGGTGATGCCATCCCAACATGTCATCTGATTTTATTTGTGCTTACATTATATAATCAGGGCTACAAGCTTTCTATGCTTTTTGGAAAAATTTCTTTCAGTGGTAGTTAAATTTAGGTTTTAATGTCTAATTCTTTGTTTTGTAAATTTCATTTAAAGTTATTTTCTTTACTACTCTCTACATGTAAACGATTTAAAAGTTACTATGAAACACCACTTTTTTTAACTTTCTTGTGGTAAGGCTTTTAAAAGGTTGGTAAAAATTACCGAAAATTCTGGAAACTTTAGTTTTTAGTTGTCTACTATTCTATAGGATTTTTTGTAAAAAGTGTGCAGTAGTTGGTAGCCCTGCATAATGAATCAAAGGTAAATAATAATTAAACTCCTGGTAATACGCGTCATTGATGCTAGCTATCTTTTAAATAATTATAAAAAAGTGACTATAATTTAAATAACAACAGCTTTCTGCTGTGAAATTTTTAAAACGTCTGTACCTTATATTATGAAGCTCATTCTGTGAGAAATCTATGCTTTTACTGATAAAATTTACAAACAATTTTGTTTTTTAATGTATTCAAATTATTTATATTTATTTTTCTATTAATAAAACGCAAATACTTTAATGAGAAAATTTTTTTTTGGTATTTAATAGGGTTGGAGAGCAGGTTAAGACTGCAACAAAGTTTCTTAAGATATTTTCCTTGAACAATGATTGTTCTTTTTCAAATTATATGGCCAAGCTATTTTTCCATTCTAATTTCCCTCATAAATCTAATTTTTTACATGAAATAATTTTAAGGAATTATCCGGATTTTTTTTCCTTTAATTTTAGCTGTTGAAGATGTTATACAATCTGCTGTTCCTTTTGCTCACTTGCTGTCCAATGTGTTGTTGGAAGGAAAGGCCACTTCAAATGCTTCTCCTAATATTGAACTAGGAGATGGTTAGTTATTAGTTTTGAGATAATCTTCAAACATTATACGTGTTATTTATTTATTCAGTTTTTGTTGTTTAAGGTTATAGTTCTTTGGAAATAAAAATTACTCTATTCCTTGTTCATTTTATAAGAAATTGCTCTCACTGTTCATTAAAATTATAATCATTGTACAACTTAATATATATTTATTATGCATATATATATATAACTTATAAAGTTGTGTTAGCTACAATTTTAAATTGTTTGCATTCTGTTTTTCAATACTTAAGCTATCAGTTTAGGGTTAACATTTCTAAACTACAAGTAAAACATCTATTTACAAACATTGTGATACTGAAACTTTTTCAAACTTATGTGCTAACAAACAAAGCTATACAATATTTATAGTAATTATTTGTTTTAATATTATATATATAAAAAAATAAAGTTTGATTTGATTGTATTTTCTTTTTAAGAATAACATTTTTTTAGTTGTTTTATTTTTAATTAACTCCTTTTTGTTTTCATAGAACTTGCTGTTTATTGTAAAAATATGGGTTTAGAAGGAGTCAACTTGTTTAAAGCTTTTCAAGATAAAGGTGAAACTATTTTTGTACTATTTATTAGTGTTATAACTCTTTTTGTCACTTACTATATTTTATAGAAAAGATAAATTATTTTCATAAAAAAGTTTACTCAATGAATTATGAAAAATGCCCTAGTCTCTTTCCGAAAAGCAGGATTCTTTTTAGAGTCTGCTTTCCATCGTATTCTATTAATTTAATTTTTCTATCGTATTCTATTTATTTTATTATCCTTTTTCTTTGTGATTGCTATAATCTTTTTATGATGCTTACAAAATTATTTAAAAAAGAAAATGAGAAACAAAAATTATTTTGATAAAAACTTAACTGTGGCTATAGAAACAATATTCACCCTTGTATTGTTAAAATAAAAGGAATTACATTTTTCTATATAGATTTTTCTATATTCATACCATTGAAAAAATGATGTATGTGCTTCGATAGATTTCAAAAGAGAGGTTTGAGAGCTATTACGGCAATAAAATTGCCAATTCAAAATATACCCAGTGCAAATAAGCTCAACTGTTTGTTTTTAAAAATATATTTGTCAAAAATTTTTTTTAAAAGATAAAAAGAATAATAAAATAGCTGAATTCAACTGTGCTGTTAAAAGGGAAAAGGACCCTATTTTCTTTAACTTGCTAATATTGTTAGCACTAAAATACAATTTTGGAAAATGGATAAAAATTTTTTTTTATTTTAATGTTATGTAGCATGTCATACAAAAATGCCAAATATATAAAAATCACCACTGTTAAATTTTTATTAAAAGGAGTTTTAGTATATGGAGTATCAGTTTAGGAAATACTTAAGAGACTGCAGTTTGTAAAATTAATATTATAAATAAATAATCTTTTACTCTTAAAAAGTAGAATGAATTTTCTAAAATATGCATAAAGCAGAATTCAGTTATCCTAAGGGAAAATTCAGCTTCAATTTGTATTCATAATTTTGAAATATTTTTGATTTTTACGTTTTATTAAAAACTCATCATTGTTGAAAATCATGATATTTTGTATTTCAAAATCAAAACTGGTCTAATTTTAAACTTAGAAAAAACTTGTTCAAATTAAATTAACTCAAAATTTGATTCAAAAAAGTTTAAGGTAGAAGCTTATTTTAATGTATGGAAATTTAATTATTTGCTTTTTAGTGTTAATAACATGACATCAATGGCAGCGGTTCCCAATGCAATTCACTACAGCTATGGAATCTGAGATAATCAAGCATCTTTTCCCATAACCCATAGTTAATAAGTAAAATAAAATTAGTAACTGTGAATATACTAACCAAAATAATATTAATAGTATAGAGATTATTTTGATCATATTTAATGTGAAGAATGAAATTTATTCAGTTATCATTTTACTAATAATAGATGATAAATTAATTGAACTTATGTTGTTTCATAATTATTTTACTATTACCATAAAAAGAGTCTTATGTTTTGTTTAAGAATAATTTATCCTTATTTCAAAATAATTGTACTAATTAAAATTTTTGTTTAAAAAAAATGAAAGAATTCATGAATTATTGTCACTGCTTGTTTAAAATATAATTTGAAATTGATTAGTTTTAAATTTCAATTGAAAATCAATTTCATCTGACATTTAAACTCACTTTTAGCTGATAAAGATGAAATATTAGAAGTTTTCATCAAAGTTTCCACTGAAATTGGAAACACCATGAAAGTTATGGAAGTTCTTGTACCAAATATGTCTCAAGATCTATCCAATAAACTTGGAGACATCATTGGCAGAGAGCTGAAACAAATGGATATAGACATTGAAGAGGCAGCACAAAAAATTCAAGTAACTAGATTAGATTTTGTTTAATTCAGGGTGGCCACCCACCTGGAAAACCTTGAAAACCTGGAATTATCAGGGAATTTTTTTTATACTGGAAAAAACCTGGAAAAATCAGGGAAATATGGATAAAAACCTGGAAAACCTGGAAATTTTAAAGAAAAGCTGGAAATCTTTTCTTATATATTTTTTTTAATTTCACTATTTTAAATTATTTGCTAATTTTCTTAATTTAAATTGTTTCATCCATTATACACACATTTTTTAGACGGAAATTATCTCCAAACAGTTAAAATATCATCAACTTACTTTGCTTTCATCAAAATTTGCTCCATTATAACCCTGTTAAACTAGAATACAACATAAAATTCTCCCATGGTTGCTAAGCAAATATCTTTGATCTCTATGCAGACTATGGGACTGTGCAATTTAGGAAAGGCAAAGATTATGGTGGATGTGGAAGACGGGGTTAGGATTCGGTTTTTAAATTCTGTCCGTGTTCACACAATGATTCAAGTTTGTTCGCAATTGAGAGTGGTAATTTTTTTCTATTTTGACAAAATGTTTTTGTATTTTTAACTTTATTAAATTCTCTAAAAATTAGTTGGTTATAATTTAATAATAATGGATTTTATATTGCACTCTTTTTCTGAAAGCTTTTGAACTCCCATTCAAAGAAATCTGTAAATTATTTTTTCTCAGCAAACCAACCAATCACGCATTTCCCCCCATCACTAACAGCAATGTTTGTCGACAAATTGTTACAATTCTTGCATTAATGCTAATTTTTTCTATTTCATTTTAACCTTTTATAGTATATTTTTATTTTGAAAAAAGTTTTTTTTTAGAACTAACTATATATTAATATCAAATTTTACGGTTTTGTTGGTAAATATTAGTTTTTTGATTCAAAATTCGAATTGTATAGTTATCACAATATCGAAAGTTCGTAAATGTTGCTTGCATTCCAGAGATGATATTTCAAAACTATTCCTCTTTTTACCTAAAAAAGCTGACAATGACTAAGGAATATATAGGAAACATATTAAATGATATATATACATAAAATATATTTTTTTTTATTCATATGTGTTTAGTCAGGAGAAGGAAAACGAAACTTAGTGTTTTAGTTCTGCACTGTACAAGATTCCAGTTGTTCAAACAAAAACAATTAACTATGCTAAACTAAAAAACTGTGTGTTTAGATTGGAATTCTTTAAATGTTTTAATTTCAAATAAGAAAAAAAATCAAAAAAGTATAAATTTTAAGGAATTTTATCTATTTTTTTTCTTCTATAGAGTATAGAACTAAAAATTAGACAATTTTACATTTCTGACATTTATTTTTTTATACTGAATCTCTTAAAATAAAAATGCTATTTCAAAATACCATTATTTAAAAATTTGACTTGAGATATTGGTTTAAGGAAAATATGATCAGTGAATTTTATAAAAAGCACTGGTAAGATGAAATACAGTATAATGCAGTATACAGTACAGCTTTATATTGAAATGTAATTACAGTGATTCACAAAAGTGTTGATACACTTATGACTTTCAATGAAATAAGACTATCCATTAATTAAAATGAATGTTTCAGAATGTATATTTAATGATAAAAAATGTGTTCTAATCTTAACAAAACTGAAATATTTTAAATGACAATATGAAATATTTTAAAAACAAAGGAAAAGTTTATTTTTAAGGAATCAATCATCAAAAAGTGACAAAAACTTTATCCCACAAAAGTCATCATACACTTTTAAAGAAAAAACTCAGTCTATTAGTAAATCTAATTTTTCGTTAAATTAACATTTAGTGGAGTTTCCTTTAGCATCTACAATAGCTTTTAAAGGTTGAAAATACGTGTAACTAGTTTTTTTTTTTTCAGGTGAAATTCGTGCAGAATATTTTTTTAAAATTTTTACAGAAACTTTTACAACACTCAATTGCAAATTTATGAATTTTTCCACAAAATTTATAATTTTAATCTCTGATATGAAGTCCTTCTTTTAAGCATTTTATCACATATTGCACAGTTCAATTGAATACAGTAAACTAATTTAACATATTCATTACTGATTTACCTCTTATGAAGACAAATAATCAAATTTGGTCTATTTTATTACGACCACAAGTCATTTTTAAATGATAAAATAAAATATTACGGAGTTAGCAAGCAAAAATTAAAATATAATTTTGCTATTATAGGTTTGATACTAAATTGCTAATAAAGAAATAAAAAATTAAATGAAAAATAATTAAATAAAAAAAGCAATTGACGATAATTTTAATTCTGAGATCCAAAACATTTAAATGTACGATGACTTTCGTGGGGTAACATTTTTGTTACTATTTGATTAAAAAATTAACTTTTGCTTTGTTTTTAAAATATTCCGTGCAGTTTTGCTAAGAATAGATTATACATCTTATTATCAAATACCCATTGTGAAATATTCATTTTAATTATTGAATTTTTATTTCCTATTTCAATATAAGTTATAAGTGAGTGAGCACTTTTGGGAGCCACTGTAATTATTAAAAATTATTGATATATAATCACCTGAAACGGTTTTCTTTTCCTTAATGAAAATATATTAAACAATACTTATACAAGGTTTTATTGGTTATTCTGATTTTGTCATTTTGTAGGTACACTTTGAGCAAATACTACTTAAAGTAACACATTAAATTCAATAAAAACAATTAAAATTATTCAATAAAAACAATATATTCTGCAAGCTAAACATATTATTTTCTCCACGTCTTAATTTTTTAAAAATTAATGTTGTACCAGAACATTAAAAAATAATAAAAAAATATCTTGTAAAAAAATATTTTTTTTTCAAGATATGTTGAAAAAAATGACATTTTGAATAGGATATTTTATAATACAGACACTTTTCTTGTACACATCCTACACTTTATAAGAAAAAAGGAAAAAAGCACAAACCTGGAAATTTTAAGATTTTTACCTGGAAAAATCAGGGAAATTTGAAATCTGTTTTGAGTGGCCACCCTGTAATTACAGCAGTGTTTCCCAAAGTGTGGTACGAGTACTCCCAGGGGTACAGGAACAGTTTAGCAGGGGTACGCGTTCTTATGCAAAATATCTTGCAACAACAAAAATTTCAAATTTTTTTATTTAAAAGCAAAGCTAGCTATGAAAATCTACAATTACGTATTTTACTATTGGCTATTTTTCGCAGAGTTAACAGTTAATAATTAGTGGTGTCAACAGCCAGTTGTGACTTTTAACTTTTGTGCAATTTATTTATCACAGCAAAAACAATATCATCCTTCTCACTGATGCAAATAAATTTATCAACGAAACTTAGTACCAAAAAAGAAAAATAAACATATTTTTAAAAAAATACATTCATTTTTTTTTAATTAGTGGTACACAGTGTTACAAAAAAGTTAAAAAGGGTACACAAAAATCATAAGTTTGGGAAACACTGAATTACAGTATTGACATTATATAGCAATTCTTTAAAAAATAATTCAAAAAACAACTGTTAGAAATTGAAGAGATCATGCAATAAGAAGACCAATTTTGCTCAATAAACAATCGCATAAAAGATAAAACCTATGTTTCTAATACTGAATTGTAAAGAATGCAATCTTTAAATACCTTGTTAGCCTTTATTAGTTTCACTTTTCTATATTTTGCACTGGCATTTATATCTTTGCTATAAGGTATTAAGAAACTTCCTGGATGAGTAACTGTCCCATGGTGAAGAGAATTACCTATTTGTCAGTGCCTTAAGGTAACAAAAAGGAACAGGTTTTAGTAGATATCAAATGTTTCAATGTTATACAGGGTGCGTTCTGAAAGTAATGCGCATGATTTTATTGTGACGCGACTATTGATCGCAGCGCACTCAGATTGGTAAAAAAATGTGGTGGGGGATTTGTCCTTCCAAACAAGCCTGGTCTCAGGTCGCTCCGAGCAGTAGGACGTGTCTTCGCGCAAAGTCTTTTTTTTTAGATCGAGTCACGGCGTGATGGAGTGATCGTTGGCTGGAACAGTGGTACGCGATAAAGTTTTGTGTGCGACGTGGGAAGAATGCGACGGAAACTCATCACATGCTTCAAGACGATTTTAAGGAGGAATGCATTTTGAGATCTCAGTGTGGAAGGTGGCACAAGGCCTCCAAGGAGGGTCGGGACAAGGTCACCGACAAGCCTTGTTCTGGACGCCCAACAACAGCCCCGACCCGATGAAAACGTCCAGCATCTGCGTTAAGTTTTGAAGTCAGACAGTCGGTTTATCATTCAGGTAATCGCTTACATCCTAAACTTGTCAAAATGTGTGGTACATGGGATTGTGACGGAGGATTAGCAAATGCGAAAGGTCTGTGCGAAGCTTGTGCCGAAGGTGTTGACGGAGAAGCAATAAGAAGTTCGAGTTTTGTGCAGTGAAGAATTTCTGGAATTGATGAGTTGGTGCCCCAGCCTCCCTGTAGCCCTGACTTGGCGCCGTGTGACTTATTTTCGCTCCCCCTGACTGAGAAGAGAGCTGAAGGGAAAGCACTGGGAGTCAGTGGAGAACATAAAAGCTCAAGTTACAAAGTTCCTGAGAGGCATTCATGTCGAGGAGTTCCAGGGTGCCTTCCAGACGTGACAGAATCGTCTCCACAAGTGTATTGACGCACAAGGGAACTATTTTGAAGGATTTTAACCATTTGTACCCATAGGATCAATAAATCTATTTTTCCCAGAAAATGCGAATTACTTTCAGAACGCACCCTGTATGTTGGTAGGAATAGGGTTATGTCATTAAATTTGAGTATGATATAAGTCTTGAGTATGATATAAGTCTATGATATAAGTCTTTGTTAAGTAAACAATATCTATAAGGATGGAGATAGATAAGGAATAAATCTACTGATAACAATTATAAAAATATAGTAAAATTTAAACATTTTCAAATTTTTAAACTATTTATTTTGCTTCTATTGCAAATTAATTAATGCATTTTAATGCAGTGAAAATATAATAATTATTAAAAAAATTTCTTAAAGGATATGTTAAACAACAGTAAAGCTGGAGATTCTGGTATGAAATTAGAAGTCAATAGCAAGATATTAGATTCTTGCACAAGTTTAATGCAGGTATGTTTCTTAGAAAATTTTACTAAATAAGAATAGTGTGCTAAAAATTAGCCTTTTTTTTAATCTTAAATTAATTCCATGTTGGTCCATTTTTTGTAACATTAATTATGTATATATACACACATTTGGCGCTAGATATAACCCTTGTCACGGCCAGAACAAATGTTATGAGGTGAAATTGTTATTTTGTGTGTGAAAAAAAATGCCTTAAATATTATCTGATGGTCAAAAAAATAAAATAAATAAATAATGCTTGACTAATTTCTACAAAGCAATACTTTACTTTAAGAATTTGATAACTAACAGAAAAAATGGTAATGCTGTAACTTTTTTCTATATTAATATCTACGTAAAAGTACTCTTTATATGTTGGTTTGGGGTTGTCATTTTTTATAAATAATATTGCATCCAGATAACTAAGAAGACTACATGTCTTAGCTAGAAAATAAACCAGACAAGGAGACTGACATTTCACTAAAAAGTCAATACAATTTTTAAATAAAAAAATTTAAAATTGATCGATTTATTGTATCCTTTGAAAGAAAGGTTATATAGATAATGAATGACCATAAATTAGGACCACCTATGATTTAGAATAAGAATTTAGAGGGTTATGTCACTTTTTTTTTCATTTAAAAGAATATTTTAATTGTTTTACAGGTATGGTAACAAGGAAAATGATAGCTTAAATAATTGTTTTGAAAATTTTTCTGTATAAAATTATTAAATTTTGGTCACTATATTTGAATGAATGGTGCGGTGAGAGCATTCTAATAGATATTAGAATGACAATTAAAAAACGTTACTTCAATAGTTACTTCTGAAAACTGCACTTTATGCATCATTGTTGAAATGGAGAAGTTATTATAATGGGAAGACCTCTGCCTTATATATATCTTTATATATATTCAAAATTCTTTTAGTTAAATAAAATCTTATACAAAATAACTTTTTGAACTATATACAGTGTGTTATAATATGAAGGATTGGTAATTATTGATAGGATGTTAAATTGTGAATATATTTTTTTGTGTAAATATATTTCAATTGCAAATCTCAATGGTTAAAAACCTAAATGGCCTTTAAATTTTGTTGGATTTTGTGTAGAATTTTTTTTACTTGTTTATCTGTGTGATTTAACAAAAGCGCATTTGATACTAATGAAATAAGACTCTCTGCTGTGTGGTTTGCTACTTCGAATTCTGCAATTTCTGTAATGATTTATGCTTGGAGCCTTAGTAAAGCTCATATTTGTTGATAACTGTAGTAAACAGTATTTGTGTATATTTGTATTGTGCTATTATTTTCAGGCTATTAAAGTACTTGTTCATACTTCAAGAAATCTTCAAGAAGAAATAGTTTCTCAAGGAAAAGTAATGTTTTGTTTTTATTACTTTTTTTAAAGGATTTTACCCTAGCTAACTAAACGGAAATCATTGTTCCTCTCTTACATTTAAGTCACACAGGGTGCAGAAAAAAAACCTGGGCTAACAATTTTTAATATAACTGAATTAGAAAAAAATATTACTAATAATAATACTTTAATTAATAGACTTTAATTAGTAGACTTTAATTAATAAATAAATTCAATTGATTTCAAAGTGGTCATCTTTTGCATCACAAATGCAATTTAAAATCTTCAGCAAATGGCTACAAGTCTTTTCCCTTTATTCTAGTCCATTTCTGCCAAAGTGATTGTTTTAAAGAGTCCAAACTTTTATGTGGTTTAGTACAAGCTGCTGAGGCATATTAATACGATTCACACTAGTATGGTGGCATCGCAAAAATTGTCGCCAAATGTTATGCGAATGGTGTTAAAATTATAGGCATGGGCGACAAAATTGTCAATTTGAAATATATTTGGAAATTTCAAAATAGTAATGAAAAAGATTTTCTTCCATCAAAATCCATTCATTTAAAGAAGAAAAAATGCTGCAGCAATTTTATTCTACATGTTGATTAGGTTTCAGTTTTAAGATTTTTCAAATGGAATAACTGAAAGTTCCTGATTCAAAAAAATTTTAAATGCTGAAATTTCAATGTTTTGCTGTACTTTGCATTCATGTACTGACAGTGTAATTGTTCATCAATAAAACATGATTTTTTGAAGATTCACTGAATTATATTGATACATATTAATCCGTACTACATATAAATCCGGTTATAATTCCCTTTTCAAATGCATAAAATTTGAACCTAAATAAAAGTTATCCACAGTTAAAGGAAAGAAGGTAACATCTTTAAAAATGTGGAATAGTGAGCACCACATTGGTTGCCACATGGATTCTTATCAAGTATCACATGCGTGAAAATAAAATTGAAAAATAATCACCTTATAAACATAAAATCTATACTTAGAAAACAGTTATTAGTTAATTAAATCTTATTAAATCTCTTTTTATAAAATTACACTTATTATAAAAAGAAAGAATGATACTTAAAGAAGAAAAGTATATTACCGATCAGAATCATAATTTGAGAGTTTGTATGTGATAAAAAATAAACTAATCACAAAATGTAAATAAATCACAAACTTTTTATTTATTTTTCGAACATTTCCAATCATATATTTAATCAAAATCAGATTCCTCACTTGCGAAACAAAACAAACCTTGTATTTCATCATAGAGTTCATTTTCCATGTTATCCGACATCAACCAAGAAAAATCAGCAAAGAATTATCTCCCAAATTAAGGTTAAGGTAGAAGAAGAAAAAAAATGTATGAACGGAGTTCAATAGAATTAGAAGGGGAGATGAACTTAGTTAATTTGAAGAAAGCAGTGCACTATGTTGAAATAAATGCAACCTCCTGCTTCAGACACTAGATCACCTTATTCCAGGTGGAACCAGGAAGGATAACTATTTCATTAACTAGTTACAATAATAATGGTCAAATGTAATCACAGCTTGTAAAATACGGATTCTTCAATGACCTTTAACCTTCAGTAAAGAAAATGAAGGGCTAAAAAGAAAATGAATGATTATGGCAATCATGGGAGGACTCTGACAATTCTTACGTCAGTTAATCGGCATCAATTTAGGTACACCTGTGTTTTCTTTTTCTCAGAAACGTTTATTTGATGCAGAAACGTTGTTTTTTTAATATATTTTATACATTGGTTAACAAAAGGGGCAGAAATTTTTTGTCAGTATTGAAAAATAAATAAAAAAAAGAATTTCAACTAAAAGAATTGGCAGAAATTGGATCTATGCAGATTAGAATTAAAAGATTTTGTTTTCTAGTTTTGTGACAATTTGAAAATGAAATATTTATAAAGAGCATATAGGTGAAGAAAAGAGAGTAAAATATATACCATGCTAGTTTAATCTTCAGTTATAAATCGGAATTCGTAACCCCATTTGTATATGATGTCATACGGTTTTTCGTCAATCAAAAACTTCTTTTATCATCCCATATTTTAATTAAAAAAATATTAATTAGAAAAAAAAACCTTTTCAGAGCAAACATTACGAGATAGGTTCGTAATTTTGGAAAAATTTCTGTAAAAATCTGTTTTTGAATAAATCCACTGTGATCGCAAAATGATCACGCGTGGTTTGGGGTATTCTTCGCATAAGCTGCACATTGTGAAAAATGAACTTTTAAACACAGATAGGCTGCGACCTATCTACCTGAAATAACTGTAATATAAAAACATATATATTTTTATATCTCCTGTTATTTACTTTATACAAATTTAAAACTTATAAATATAACATTTCAAACAGGAGGTAACATTAGGTTGTAAGCTAAAAGAATATTGTTATTTTGGAATGTACAAAAGTAATAAATATTAATATTTGCTATCTTGGCAAAATGTTTTAAGTTGTCTCTCTAATTGCTGCATATTATGCCATCTTTCAAAGAAAAGGCAAATTCTATGATTCCTTGGTGAGATTTCCATGTGTTTTTTTATTGCTTTTCAATATTTAAATATAAATTTGTTCTTCTGATTCGAAAGAACATTTAAAAGTTATTCTATTGTAATGATTGTTAGATGACTATTGCAGCAATTCTAAACACAATTGACAGGGGTTGTAAGTTTATTTGATTGTTTGTTAGTAATTTTTGTTCCAAAAACAATTCATTCGAAAACTTAGTGAATGTATATAAGCAGTTAGAGTTACTAAAAATATCTATTCATTGTTTGCTGTGTGTGAATTTTTTAGACATTTATTTTTCATAGATTAATTATAATAAATTTTTTCTTAAAATTTCATTTATAAATAAAGGGAACTGCATCAATTAAAGAGTTCTACAATAGGAACCACAGATGGACTGAAGGGCTTATTACAGCTGCTAAAGTTGTAGGCTTGGGAGCAAAATTTCTAGTGTAAGTTTTTTTTCTTCAGACATTATAAATAAAATCAAAAACAAGTGTAGTAAAACTCTATTGAAATTTATTTTACTTCTTTATTTTTATATATTTTATATTATATTTGTATTTATTGTAATATATTCTTTTATATGAGTAACACATAATATATTACTGTAGGAGAAGTCTTGGTTTATTTGTATTTCTACCAATTCACATAAATAATGAAAGGCCAGAAATAATCTAACTCTAAATATTTATTGAAAAGGACAAAACACATAAAAATAAAACAAGGATAAAAAAATACAAGAATTTGGAAGAGGGGGTTTTGGGCTCGAATTAAACGTCCGTGCAGACTGTCTTAGTTCACCGCCAGAGGCGCTGTAGTGGGGGAAAGAGGAGAATTCGTTACATTACTGAAAAATCAGTTATTTTCTAAACTGAATCATTAAATTACCCAAAACAAAATTGTTCTAATTTTATATTATATGTATCTATAGCTGGTGCCTGTCATTAATTAAAAATTTTTCAATTTGATTTACCTGGTTTTACTCCATTTGTTATAAAATAATATTTTACGTTTTGAAAACTTCTATCTCACATATTCTTGAATTTTGCTCATTTCCTTAAAACTATATGCATTAGATTGATTTTATATCCTGCTTAAATTTTATATACTCTTTATTTTTATACTCTTTATTTTTATACTTTGATTCTAAAATAATTTAAAAATCTTTTTAAGAAATTAAACCTTTTTATTTACAAAACTTAACGTAAATGAATTTCTTTTTTTCAGCAATGCTGCCGACAAAGTGGTTAGTAAGCAGACAAAATTTGAAGAGTTAGTTGTTGCATCACAACAAATAGCTGCAGCTACTGCACAGTTAGTAGTTGCATCTCGCGTGAAAGCAGACAGGGGTAGCGAGAAACTCAGTAAGGTATCTCAAGCTTCCAAACATGTAACTCAGGCTACTGGTCAAGTTGTTGCTACAGCAAAAAGTTGCGCAGAAATGGTGGAAGAATCTGGTTTGTCCAAATTTTATAATTATCTTTTGTGAATATATTTTCAAATTTAAACTTCCAATACCTTTAAAGTCTGTTTTTTTTTATTACATTTCAAATTTGAATAAGCATATATATATAAACAAATACGTTGATGTAACTGTAACAAGTTTTTTGTTTGATATTTAAACAAATTGATGTGGCATTTAAATTTCTACTATAGGTAGAGCATATTCTAATTAAATGTGCCAAAGAATAAAAAATAATTTTTTTACAAGCAAGCTACTCTATAGTTTCAGAACTTTTAGAACAATAGAATGCCCATTTTCTTAATAATCACTCCAAGCTCTTTTCTTTTACAAAATTCTTAAATGGATTTCTCACATAATGCTTTAGTTAATTGCCTACTTAAGTAAAAGTGATGTGTCAATCTCTAAAAGATATATAGAAATAAAAGCAGTTTGAGAAAAGAAGACAAATGTTTAAGGAGTCAGTGTAGTTTTTAGTGTAATGTTGCCAAAATTTGTTTTAGAAAAGTTTGACTTGTTTTTCTTTTCATATCTTATTTTGAATGCTTATAAGTTAGGGAATTCGGAAACCTTACCGTAAAGTATCAATGGAATCTCAAGGTGTTTAATTATAACGATTATATATCATTTCCAAAAAAATTTTGTGAAGAAAATGAATAACGAGTTTTTACAGTTAGTTGTTGAGTACATTATTTTCCTTGAAACTCATTGTACTGCTAGTACATCATTCCTACAATCCTGAAATTGCATCCTGTCACATTTTATTCTTTCTTTATGTAATATGTTTTTTAATAATGTAATTTTTACAAAATAAAAAATTGCAGAATGCAATGAAAAATACTTGTTTCACCTCAAAACAATGCTACCTAAATAAAATATTTTTTTGAACATAATTAATAAATGTTTCAGTTACAGGCTTCTGAAAGAAAACATTAAATAGGTAATAAAAGACTAAACTTAAATGACCTGTAAAACTGATTCTCAATAAATTTGTATTAAACTTAATCATAAAATTAAATTAGAAATCAACCTTCTGACTTTAATAAAAATGACTTGAATTAAAATAAATGTAATAATTACTATGCTGCTGCAGATTTGTTTCTAATTGAGATATTAAGGTACATTTTATGGTATTTTTTCTGTCATATATTTTTATTTGCAATCTTTACATAACTACGATTCTCATATTTAGTTGAGGTAATGTAAAAAAACAAATCTAATTTTTTTTAGTTCTAACTAAGCATTTTAAATATATGTAGTAATTACACATTAATTATGCAATAAATTAAAAAATTTTATTTTATTTTATTTACAGAAGATATGGATTTTTCAAAATTAACCCTTCATCAAGCAAAAAGATTAGAAGTTGAATCTCAGGTGAATATTACACTGTTTTATTTAAATACAGCTCCTTAAAATATAGACATAAAGCAAGTCTTATCTGTTCAAAAAATTTGACTAAACATTTTAAAATCTGCATCCAATTATATTAGTTTGTATATCTTTACCAGTAAAAAGAGCAATTTAAAAGATTACGAATAAAAACTTATTTTGTTAATGTTTTTATTAAAGTTGAAAGTATCGGGTTGAGTAAAAAGTTTTCCGCCAAGGGGAGATACCTCCGTGCCAGCAGCAGCCATTCCCGTGGTAGTTAACCTTTTCTGAAATGGGCTTTTGCATTTTAAAGCTGAAAGTTGGAACTACACAACTGTGTCATTTGTTTGTCAAAACTTTATCATCTTGTGCAAGAGAAAAGTGTTTGAAATGGAGCTATCACGTAAGCAGATCAGAACGAGTATGTACTATGAGTTCCGAAATAAACTCAGTGTAACTGAATGCCACAAGAAAATGTGTGAAAGTTTAGGTTTCAATACTGTTTCTTATGATACAGTAAAAGTTTGGTTTCGATAGTTTAATAGTGGAAATTTCAACATTGAAGATGAACCACGTTCTGGCCGCCCTATTGAGATTGATTGTGACCAATTAAAACAAATTATTGATCAAGACAGAAATGTTTCAACACGAACCATTGTGTTAGAGCTTGACGTTTGCCAAAAAACAATAGTAAATGCCCTCAAACGCATAAATTTAACATTTAAGTTTAACCGCTGGGTGCCTCACGAATTCACTGCTGAAGACAAGAGCAAAAGAAAAGCGGCCTGTTTGGTTCTGCTCAGAGATCAAAGGAAAGAGAACATTTTGGACAGAATTGTGACCTGTGATGAAAAATGGGTATACTACAACAATACTAGACGTAAAGGAGGGTGGTCAGCACCCGGGGAATCAGCAGGTTCGTTTGCATGACGAACGCTAACTAACAAGAAGGTCCTTCTCTGTATCTGATGGGATTGTCGTGGAATTATCTACAAGGAGTACCTGAAAAGCGGGAATGCCATTCGCGAAAAACGAGTTCAGAAGGAAGGTGGTTCTCTTTCATCAAGATAACGTCCGGTCACATGTCAGTGCAATGACCGGAGTGGGATTTGATGCAACATCCACCATACAGTCCAGACATGGCACCTTCAGATTACTATCTGTTTCCACATTTGCAGCTGCATCTTGATGGCACAATCTTCCGTTCAAATGACGAGGTCATAAATGAGGTTGATCGCTTTCTGGACTCGCGCATCTCCCAGTTCTTCGCAGAAGGGATTGAAAAGTTGCCAAAACGTTGGCAGACTATTGTTGATTTGAATGGAGATTACTATCCTCATTAACTTTGTTGATTTTCTATCTAGTTTTCTGGCGGAAAACTTTTTACTCAACCTGATATTTGACTTTCTTCTTTTTTCTATCTATTGCTTCAAAAATTTATCTAATTATTTTAAACAAAAGTTTTCAATTATAAATATTCCAGTATAGTTATTATGAAAATATAAATTTCTGTTTTTGTACATAGCATATTATATTATTTTTTCTTATTGATTTGAATTCTAATCTTAAAATAGGTAAGGGTGTTAGAACTTGAAAGCTTACTTGTCAAAGAAAGAGTAAAGCTAGCTGGACTCAGAAAGAAACACTACCAATTAGCTGGTGCTAGTGAAGGTTGGGATGAAGAGGTAAGTGTCTTAAAATATATTCAATTTTATTATTCTAATCAAGTGCAAATAGTATTTCATTGTTTGATAAGAAACTAATTTTTAATTGTGAAAACAATCTTTGTAAATATTTTAATTGTTTTGTTTCTGAAACAATTAAATTCTCTGAGATAGTCGTTAATAGTCATACATCAAAAATGTTTATTGAAAAGTTATGCACTCCTTTTTATTTATCATTATATTTAGCATTTTTTATAATATATATTGCTTAAATTTAATTTTAACTTTCAATTACTTTTAGTTTAAACTTTATTTTTAAATAATTTGTTTTTAAATTTTTTAACAGGCAATTATTTTAAATAATGTTTTGTAGCTATTCCATCATCTCTCCTTAGTATGAATGAGTGCCACTATTTACTGTTTCATGCATTAAGGGGTTAGGCCATTCTTACAGTAGTAGTACATCTTCTTCTTCCTTATCCCCAAAGTTAGCGGGGCTAAACAATGTCCATGAAACTCATGACCCGGAGGAAGTCGACCACCAAAAGTGGGTTATTCAGAATGTCCCCTTTGTCCAGACCAAGGCAGTCCAGGGTATGTTGGGGAGAAGCCTGCATGTTGTGGCACCTGGGGCAGTTTGGGTAGATTTTAACACTGCCCTCGAAAGAAAGGGACTTAAGGTGGCCGCTGATAAGCCTGGTAAGTGCCGTCTGTTCCTTGCGATTGCACCGAATGTTGAGTGCACCTCCTGGACGAGTGCTCTGGTACCAGTGATGTTTGGGGGGTACGAGCCAGGAAACATTGACTTCTTTTTTGATGTAGTAGTACATACATTAGGGGTGATAGTAGACAACTAGAAAAGCACAAGGCATCATAAAATCCATGGTCCAAATGCGAGTCGTTTCTTCTGGTTCTAGACTTTTTCTTCTGGGATCATATGAAGAAACTCGTTGTCATACGTATGGTCTGTCTTCTTATGACCATGAAAATCGGATATCCGTATCTTCTGACACCATAAGAGAAATGTCTGGTGATATCGCCAATTAATTTTGTGATACATCATGTTTCGCATTGTAGCACTTCAAGATTTGCATTCCGATCATAGATCGTATGGTGATTTGTACTTGTCTAGTTCTCTTCAATCACCCCTTATAACATAAACCTTTAAGTTAAGTTGAAAATAAATTTTTTTTTCAATTATCAATGCAAAAAGTTATAAAAGTATGTAGGTTTATTTTTCTGCAAGAGTAGTACCATTAAAAATAATTGAAAATGACCAGAAAACTGCTTATAAAGTGAAAAAAAAAGTACTAAAACGAAATTACCCTACATACAATTGAAAAGAATTCAATTTTAAATATGCAGTCCAAGCGTGAAGTAGATCTGTGAAGATTTGTTTGAATTATGAATACAACCAACTTAAAAAATGTTTTCTTAGTTTTCTGGTTCATTCAACAGACTAAGAGAAACTGCCTTAAGTTTCCAATATTCAAATATTTTTCCTGTTACTATTTGTGTCATCTTTTAATTAAAAAAATTTTTTTTTGAATGACCTAACCCCTTAAATATGAACTATAAGATCTTATTTTTCCTCAATTATAGAATATAGTCTTTTGATTTATACATTTGTTTTTTCTTTTTTACAGGCTTTTGCACAATGAGTACCAAAACTACAAGCTGAAGAATATTGATATTCAGTTTTTTTTTATTATTATTATTCACTACAGAGAGAATGTTTAAAGATATATATATATATATAATATACATGTTATACATCATTATTTCTGTATCATTCCTACATTTTTATTTTCAAAAATTCTTTATGCATTTGTGGCCTTTATGTAAATATAATTAAGTTATATTGTCATAATCATATTTCTATTTAAAGAGCTTTATTCTTTATAGATAATTTAGTCTATGATTCTTATTTCAGCTTTTTCAATTTATATAGCAATTTGGAAAAGAGGAAATATGTACAGAGATTTTAGATGTTAAGTGCTTTACTTTTATGTTCATAACTTCAGATATTTAGTTTAATTAATTTTCATCGAAATCATTTGCACTTATGACTTATAATAAATTATAAAAAGCATTAATTTAAGCTTTTTTTCATGCATTTAGTATAATGTTTATAATTTTTTTACTCCATTTATTGCTTTTGAATATTTAAAACTGAATTCTCATCATGAAATATTCATCTTTTTCATAAATTTATATTTACTAAGCAAGTTCTTTTTTAAAAGTTTGTCTTAAGTTTTGTTATTCTAATTTCATCAGCTGAAATTTATTTTTTAAATAACTATAGAAAGTTACTTATTATAGAATATTGAAAAAAATTTATATCTACTTTATTTATGACATAGAACTAGCTGATTTTTTAATCATAAAATGAGAGCTGAATGTTTTTATTTTTACTTATGGGGATAATTTTATTAGTTTTTAACACCCATTTTATATAAGAAACATTTTAAAAAAAGAGAATGAATTTTTGAAGAATCAATTTACATTCATCAAATGTGTTATTTATGTGACAAACATTTTGTTTTCATAATTATTGGATGTATTAAGCAATACGAGATATAACTAAATGTTGATCTAATAAATGTTTATAATGTCTTTGTTCTGTTTTTTTAATTTATTGAATTAAAAGATAAAGATTTGTCGTTACTATAATAAAAACTGATTTTTTAAATCTTATTTACTTTAAAAAGCTAATTGTACTTTTTACAATTAATATTAATCAGTGTTGTTGAAATTACTAGCAACTTAATAAGTTGAATCTTGTAAAAATTTATTGTACTGTTCTTTTCTTGAAATAACTAGTAAATTAAATACTAAATTATTTTGTACTTATATTTTAACCAAGTTAATATCTCTGAAAAAATGTTTATTCTCACAAATACCACCATACATGTTTAGTAAAAAATTTAAAGTACTACAAATGAAGGTTAAACATGGATTTTACTTATGAATCAGCATGGACAGTGGTAAACTAGTACCCTAATGGTTTGTTACGTGACGCCTCTAGTACCATGTTTAAAGTCATAAGTACATTAATTCTGCTACTTTTACAAATGAATAGCTCAACTTTAATATGCTTTCAATATAGAAATTTTAAGACAGTTGAATTTACCTATTGATACTAATTAGACAAAGCAAACAATCTAAATGCTGATATTCTTTTTTGCCACTTAAGTAATGTATATAGCTGATAATGTGAATTTTAATAACTTAATTTTTTTATATGCCAGTTTAAGAATTCATTAAAGCTGTGTAATTCTTCTAAATATTTTATAATTAGTTGTTGGAAGACTTTTAAAATACATAAAGCTTTAAAAATGTATATTATAAAAGGTTTTATAAACATTGTAAGAAAATGAGTTTCTCGTGTGGAATTTTCTTCTAATGTATAAGTAGAAAATGTTTTTAATACTATTTCATATTGCAGCTAATAGATCAAAATAAAGTTTAATCAAAATTTTTATAACTTTTAGATGTAAAAGCTTACAATTGCAGAGTTTATTGAAAATATTATATTTTTATTAATATCAACCTTGTTATCAGTTGAATTCTGAAATTTAATGAACTGCTAATTAAATAGTTGTGACTACAACAAATTATGTAATTTAACTGCTATATACCGATGCTTTGTAATTTGTTCATTTCTTGCTAATAAATTTTTTACATTGTAATACATGTAACTGTTTTCAATGTATGCGGATCTTCATTGAAGTTTTATAACATAACACACTTGATTAGCTAATGTATGTTCCACTGGGAGAGTATCAAATTATGTAGATGTTTTTCTCATTGGTAATACATCTAACAAAGATGGGGAACCTATAAATCCCAAAATTTCTCAATTTTGTTTTAATCAACTTGTACATAGTACTATATAAATGCAATATTAATAATTTAACTGAAATTCCAGGAGTTATAGGTAATTAATTAAGCATCAAAATTATCTTTTAACATATTTAATTTGATAAGGATTAAAAATCAGATTTATAATAATACTGAAAAATAAAGAATCAATTTTTAAAAAATTGACTAATCAGAAGTAAAATCTGCAATTTTTGGTATCCTTATAAAATAACTTTTCCTAAAGCTATATTTTTCAAGTAAAAAAAACGATAGCATTTGCGCACATTGATACCTGATAACACTCTTATGAAACAAATTTTTATTATTCATAACAGTCACATTACATAACAAAACATCAATAACCTTATATAAATCATTGAATATTTTGAACATTATTACATATTTTAACAAAATTCTAATACCACAAAATCAAGTGGATTGGCAAATATAGTTATACTAAAAAGAATGTAAAAAAAACTTTTATCTCAACACAGGTATTAGTGCAGTAAAAAAATCAATATGCACTATCATTTTAACAGCAGACATGTAAATTGCTTCAGTTAAGCAGTTTTTCAAATAAATTGAAATAGATGAAATAACAAAAATTAAACAAAATGAAGGGCAAGAAAAGTGAGATTCAACTGGAAAATCTAACCAAAAATTTATGCAAAGAGTTACTCCTTTTTTTAAAAACTGCAAATTATTCTGCACTATTTCAAAATAAATTTATCAATATTTAAAGTGCACCAGTTATAACTAAGTAAGCAGTTGGTTGGTAAAACACTTCAAAACAAAACAGTTTCATAAAATAGTGAAATAGATAACATTTCTACATAATAACAAAAATAAAATTAAGTATAACCCAAATAAAGCGAAATCAATAAAATTATACTTGACTAGAAAATAAAACAAAACAAAAAATAAACAAAATAAGATCTCATCTCAGAATAAACATCTATCCAATCTTTGAGGCTATTAGTAGAAGTCAGGAAAAATATCTGAAATAGATCAAGAAAATAGTTTCAGCTAATTCAAATAAATGTTCAAAAATTTGTTAATTTAAAGCTTCGGCGAAATGATTTTTAATATTCAATGGTCAATGATTGTTGCATTAAATTGATAGTCCTGACATATTTAAATCATTAACACTTTATTCCCTTTCTCAAAAGTATTTACATTTTTAACCTATATTTGCCCTTATTTCAGCTACGCTTTTTTTCTTCCCACAAAAATATAAAAATATTTTTAATTTTCCTAACTACCAATCTCATCTGTCATAATCAAAATTTTCCTTTTTTGGATAATTTTGTTTTCAAAAATTTTTAACTATTAAAAGTATTCTTAACTCTATCATCATTAAGCCACAGGCAGAGAAATAAAAAACTACCATCAGACATTGTTTTATTTGGCCAATTTTCAAGCTGAATAGCAATCTTGCAAGAAACAGTTTTAAAAAAGGTGCTCTTTAATACTCGTCAATGAAACAATTATTTACGGAAGTTAGAGGAACTTTACATTATTAATAATCAATTTTAGAATTATCCCCCAAAAATAGATGAGAACTTAAAAAACATCATGAAATGTTAAGGCATCTAATTTTAGGCAGATTTGCATTAACTTAAAGAATGTCTGAGTTTCCTAAAAACATTTAAAAAATAATGGAAGATTATATAGAGATACATCATGAAGTGTGCTTCTAAGTTATTTTGCAAACATAATTGGAATGCTTTGTATGAAATCAAGACCTTTATTTAAGGTTATAAATCTGAAAAAAGCATTTTGTAAAAAGAAAGTTGTTTACAAAAATATTGCACTCTATGAAATTAATAAAATGTATTTACTGACAATAGATATTTTTTATAGATTCACACTTACACCAACATTTCACACTTTTTTTTTAATAGATATACAGTATTATTTCAATTTTTAACATTTTAATAAAATGGTATAATTTCTCCCGAGTCATTCATATGAGATTCTTAGCAAAGCACTTAAAAAAGTTTCTTACATAAAATTTATAGATAAACCCATTCTAATTCACTTAGATTTCCAAATTTTTAATCATATAAAGATTGTTTATTATTTTAAATAAAATAAGAGAATTCTCTCTACATTTTTTCCGTAAAAGAATAAGTGTTAATTTTTTAATAGGAAGGAAATTAGAGAAATATAAAATATTTCTCCCAGTGTTAAAATTGCTGACAATAAAAAAAATACCAATATATTTGAGTATTGTACAAGAGTAAGAAAATACACAGATTTTTCAATTTTTATTTAAATGCCAAACTGTTATGTATTAATTTTTTATAAACAAAAAAAAAAAAAAAAAAATCGAGACATCACAAACCAGTAAATTGAATTGTTAAAACTATTTTTAATGTTTAATCTGTTTGTACAATTGGCTGGTGGCTGGGTCGCGTGTAAACGATTTTCCCCAACAGGCAGAAAATAGCAGAGTAAGGATGATGTAATGGTGTGAGAGCCAATCAGAGCTTGCCAGAGGGCGCTGTTTTTCTCCCTCCTTTTTTTCGAATCTTCGACGCGGAGCGTGTTAGCCAGTATCGTAAATTTTTTCTTAAAGGTAACACATTATTTTTTTAGGTAGTCGTTTTAGGGCTACTAGGCCCTGGATCCAGGGACCGGACGTCCGATAAGTATTTTTATTCTTTTAAACTAGCGTATTAAATTAGTATTTTTAATTTATATCAATTAACAATGTCGAACGTCTTTAATTAACAATGTCTAAAAGTATTTTTAATGTTAAATTAACTTAAAATAGATACGTAAAATCTAATTACGCCGATAATCTTCCACCACGTGCGATTAATTAATATTTCTTTTTTTTTAAAACCCAGCCCAATTTTTATAAGTTGTTAAATGTGAATTATTCTCCATAATGTATTTTAAATTATTGTAACATTTTTGAATTTTATTTTGGAGATGTTGTACCAAAAATTTGAATTCCTAACATCCTAATTAGTGTGTTAAGAAGAATGTTATTACATATTTTGTAGCCAAGATTTATGTTTTAATATATTATGTTTTTAAAAGTAATATTTGTCTTTAATTCTGACTATACCTCATGCTAAATTCTTGGATAGGAATAAATTTAGTGCACGTGCAGCCTAGTGCCATGATTCTCTAAGATTATCTATAATCCTTTTTTAAATAACTAAATATTTCGTTAAATAATGCCAATTATCATTGCTAAAAATTAATTCCAATCCAAATTGCTGTTTAGATTAGCAGATTAATATTGCTAACAAATTTTCGAGTCACATGGATGGCCTGCACGAGCACGTTGGAGAGATAGTAAATACTGAATTTAAATGTTAGTTTTAAGGCATGAATATACCAATTAATTTAACATCACGACAATTAATTTAGAATCACGTCGTAATTGTTTGAATATTTTAGATACGTTATTTGATTTTTGATTTAAATTGTTCACAACGCAAAAAATGTAAACTATTAAATAATTATTTCAAATTCTATACGGTCTATTATATTATTTTATTAAAGGACATTATAGGTTAAAATGATCCATGAAATTGAAAATAAATTATAACCACGTTTACGAACCTAACAGTATAAATTTTTTTTATAAATTATTCCTGAACTACTTTTGTCAATACTGAATTCCAATTCTTAAGTTATACCTGGTTTTACAGTAAAATTATTATAATAATAAATAAATAATATAAGTTATATTTAACACTGGAATAAATATTAATTATTTTTTAAATATAACAAAACTCATATAAAATTTGATAAAGAAAGTCTTGGTTTTATTATTGAAGAGTTCAAAATCTATGTGTAGGTAAATTAATTTAAATTTCTTGGACTAATCAGGTTCTATGTAATTTCACTGACTTATTTTATTGGACTCTTGAGATCTATATTTAAAGTATTAAAATTATATTTTTTAGTAATAGTTCAAATACTTAACACAAACATAATTCTTTTAAAAATAGAGAATGGTTATTTCAGAAACAATTTCCTTAAATAACTAATGGATAGGATGGATCATTTGAGCAGATAAAATGAACGAAATATTTAACGTAAATTTCATGTTGGTGGACTTGATTTGCAAGCAATTTTGATAGATTAATAAATAAACATTCATAATTTGCCTAATTCTGACATTAAGTTAATCAATCTAAAAAAGTTTGTCTATGCTATGAATGACTACAGTCAAAAAGACATTGTCTTGTGACATTAGTAATGTGGGCTGAATTATAGCATAAAAATCTACATCATTAACATAAGATGTTAAACATAGATGTTTAAATGACTAGTTAGTTATTATGTATGATGGAAAGTGCAAATCCACTTCTATTGCTACTTAAATTGTAACATACAGTTTAAGCTTTCATAATTTACAACGGTGAATTACGTGAGCAGCTGTCTCACAGGCAGCAACATATAGCATTTTAAATGATCAGCTTAGATTATGAAGGAAATGCTTGGAAAATAAAACAATTTTAAAAATGCTAAAAATAATTTTTTTAAATATTTCCATTATCAAATTTTAAATTATTATAATTTCTAATATGCAAAATAATGATTTTGATAAAAATATTTGCTATGTACATTTATAATTAAAAATATGGATTAATAAATTTGCGATTGTCAATTCATTTAAATAATATATTCCTAAAAAATATCCAAAATTTACTTTTTTTTAGGACAATCTAGATTAAAGCACACCAATAATAGTTACGTTATATAGACATACTGATACAAATTTATATGCAGTAACAAATCATAATACTTTAAATTATCTTTTATTTAATAAATGTAATAATTTACAAAGAGAGCAAAAACTAAACTACTTCTAAAGGGCGATTGAAATTTTAAACACATACCTTTGGATTTATACACAGCCATTTTTCCTATTCCATGGTCTCTTTGGAATTTTGAAGCTTCTTGTTCGACCAACTTTTCTCTTGAACTTAGTGACAACCCTAAACTTAAATTTAAAATTGTTTCTATGCCATTATGTTTTCCCTTTTTATGTTCAGCCTCCTATTTTGAAGGAGAAAAAAAAAGACATATATATATATATATATATATATATAAATAAAAAATAATACAATTAAAAATTTTATTATCAATTAATATCTCTATTTACATTTCTTGTGCATTTTGAGAGGTTTTATAATACTTAAATGAATAATTAAGAAGTACACTTACACAAATTTAAATAGTGTGATTAATGGAAAACTTAGAGTGGTCTGTACCAATTCAAGGTTATAAAAACAAAGATTAAAGAATTGGAATATTTGCAGAATTCAAAACAGTTTTCAAAAAATAAACACTTTTCAAGTACTCAAAAATATTTTTAAGCACTTTCAAATATATATATAATTAGACAGGGTTGACAAGTTTTGACGGTTTTATCCGGATTTAAGCGTTATGTAAAAAAAATAATAATAATAATTTACTTCTGTTAGTTTTGCAAGCATATATTTTTTTTTTACAATTGCCAATAATCATAAAATTTTAAATCGTAAAAAGAATGGCCTTTTCATACACTACGGATAGACAGTACGCCGAAATAGATTGGGGTTGAATTAATTGTGAAAACATTGAATATAACAATATGAAGTGTCTTCTTGCATAATAGGTGGCAAAAGTCAACAGGGTAAAGGGAAAATTAAGCACTTTTTAAAAACACCCAATGACAAAAACACCTTTAAGGGCTTTTAAAAAACGACAAACGAAAATAAGCACTTTTTAAAAACGCTACGCATCCTGTTGAAGAAAATAAAACTTTGAATAAATAGATACTAGTGGGGTCTTTTCTCAATAAGACTCAACAAACACCAAATACACTATCTTATATGCCTTGATTTGCAAACCAAACTCACTTCACTCACACAAGTTGAAAAGTAAGATTACAAAAAGAAAAATTACATTAAAACCTTTTGGGATCAGAATTATTTGATGAAAATAATTTTTGATTGGTTAGCATTAGAATTACCAAAAGTTAAGAGTATTGGGAAAAGAAAGTTGATGTAATTTTTTTTTAATATCTCGCATATTATTTAGATATTTATTTTTTATATAAATATTTTGCATTCCCTCCCAAATTGGGTGACGGTAGGCAAACTACAAATAAAGCAGCAAAAATTCAAAATGTAAGAGTGACTTGATATTTATCCCCTGCATGCAAATTTTATAGAAGCAAATCCCTAAATTTAGCAACTAATATTCAATTACATAAAATGAATTTAGTTAACTTCTCTTCATGAATATGAACGAGAAATGAGCATTTTGTCAAATACAGAAAATCACTTCAAATGCACATCTAAAAGAGAAAAATCAGAGGGGTGGTATGAAATATTTTTCAATACTTAATTACAAAAATATCACAGTAGAATATAGATATACAGTGAGACCCGTTTTTGTGCGGTCCTTTTTTATGCGATTCTGTTTTTGTGCGATTGGTTTTATGCAATTTTACTTTTGTGCGAATTCTTTTTATGCTGTATATGAATCTTAACGGCGTTAGCACCAGTTTAATGTTTCCTATCAATGTGCATATGCATGTTGTGGACGAACTCTGATTATGTGGTCTCCTTGACAACGATGTATCTGGACTTCGTGATTCTCTGTTTATTTATTTTCATAAGTTCATTTATTATCGTCAACTCCATTTTATCTTCTGCTTAAAATATATTCTACGCTAAACAAGTAAGTAAAAAATCGTCTGCTGTGTTGAAATACTTTGTATTTTAAAATTAAACCATTATTTTTATTTTGTAAATTCTCGTCTGCGTGTATCTCAAATATACCCTTCGTATTCAGTTTTTTACATGATTCATGTGATTAAGGATTCATTTTATAGTGAGATTAAAGGTAAATAAATTAATTACTTTTGTTTCAATTTCTATGTAGTTTTTATGATTTTTATTTTATTTTTAGACATAATAAGTTCTCCCTTAAAATGAATAATTATAGCCAAAACAAAGTAAAAAGACAGACAATTCCATTAGAAACAAAAATTCTAATATTAAACAGACTAGTAGATGGTGAAGGATCCACAGCTGTTGCTAATGAATTTAAATTAGGTGAATCCACAATCAGAGCTATACACAAACGTGCAAGTAAAATATATGAATCTCTTAATAATACAACAAACGACAGTAGTAAAAGAGCATCGTATTCGAGAAATATTGTAATAGAGAAGACGGAAAAGGCTCTTGTGTTGTGGGTTAAAGATTTAACTAAAAAACGAAACCCCGTTCACAAAGAATTAATTCAAGAAAAAGCTAGACAGTATTTCAACCAACTGAAGGACTTAGAACCAAGTTCGTCATCCTGTTAACGAGAAGTGACATTTTCTGCGAGCAATGGCTGGTTTGCTGGATTTTTACAAAGGTACGCACTTCATAATGTGAAGATACAAGGTGAGGCAGCGTCCGCCGATGAAACAGCTGCTATGAATTATCTCAAAGTATTAGCGGAAATCATTGATGATGGTGGATATTGCCCAGATCAAGTATTTAATGCAGATGAGACTGGGTTATTCTGGAAAAAGATGCCCAGCCGAACATTCATTGCGAAATCTGAGAAAATTGCAAGTGGTTTTAAAGCGGCAAAGGATCGAATCACACTTCTTCTTTGCAGTAATGCTTCTGGTGCAAAGATGTTATCACCAATTATTATAAATAAAGCTTTACACCCACGCGCGAAAAGGCGGAAATTTATCTGAATATCCAGTACACTTCATGGCCAACAAAAAAGAATGGGTCACATCAACTGTATTTGCAACATGGTTCAACGATTCTTTTGTACCAGAAGTTGAAAAATACATGGAAGAAATGGGTCTTCCGTTTAAAGTATTGCTAATTGTAGATAATGCACCCGGTCATCCCTGTATAGAACATCCTAATGTACAAATAGTGTTTTTACCACCAAATACGACTAGCCTTATACAACCACTGGATCAGGGCATAATCGCAAATTTTAAGAAACATTATATCAAATTAACTTTCAGCTACATTTTGAAAAAGCTAGAGAGCAATAAACTAAACCTGACTGAAGTTTGGAAAAAATTCTCAATTTTAGACTGCATAAACCATATTATTGCAGCAATGGGACAAATCAAACAACACACATTAAATCCGTGCTGGAAAGCGATCTGGCCTGAATGTGTAATTAATCGAAACGTCACCGAAAACACGTCAACGTTATTATCTGAAATTAGTGCGCTCGCACGTAACATTGGCGGAGAAGGCTTTGATTCTTTCCATGTTAATGACTTGGACGAGATGATTGAGGACCAAAGTGTGGATGATAGTGACATTATCAATAGTTTGATAGATTATGAAAATGGACAAGAAGAACCGGAATCTATTACAGCAGATAAAATATATGCAGGGATCCAGATTTTGAAAAAATTGGAAACGCATTTTCTTAAAATAGATACCAATGCGGAAAGATGCTTAAAATTCCAAAAAGAACTGAGATCACTCATGTCTCACTATCGTGACGTTTACATGCAATTGACCAGTCGACCGCTGTCACAAAAACTGATCACGGACTTTATGGTACCAAAAAACAAATAAATTGAAACCCTATCTTCAAGCGACGACAGCAATTTTCAACCAATTCATTACAAGAAGATGCGCGTTTTGGATTACGACAAGTAGCAGCAAACTATTTAATGTATAGTTTGAAAACTTCTACATGTGTATGTACAATAAAGAATTAAATATTTTTAAAATTTCTTGAGGTCTAATTTAATTATTTAATTTTATTGAAAGCATTCTCTCATCTATTTTATAAATCATTGATGTATTTTCTGAGTAGAACTTTTTTTATGCGGTCCCTATCAACCGCATAAAAAAAGTTTTTGGTGGTATATCTTACAAACTTGTTTATTACATGTCAGAATTTATAAAATTGTTTTTTTTGCGATTTCTTTTATGTGGTCCCTATCCACGGCACAAAAAAAGGTTTTACTGCATATAACATGATCCTTGAAACCTGGGGCTTTGCATTTTATGGAATTTTGTGCTATAAAGATCATTTGATTTATTTTTAAGTTTACCTCACTAAATATGGCAACATTAATCTGGAACAGATCAATAGTAGTACAAGGCTTTAAAAAAATTTACATACAAATTCAAAATACAAACTTAAACATTAATTATTTACAAAAAAAAAATTCTGCAGCATTAGAACTAGGAACAAACAAATTAATCAATTTTGGTTTGTTTAGCGTTTGAAAATTTAACCTTTTAGTGAACAAGCAAATAATGCAAAAAGTAAATATTTCTTTCCCTGTTATAAAAATTTCTTTACCGCAAATCTTATTGTTTACACCCACAAAGCTAGTGTGGTTTATGGAGAATTGCAGTTAATAGAATTGCACTATATAGGTTTTCTACTGTAACATTGATTCTCATAATTAATTTTTTTTTTTTAAATAAAATATCATGTTATCTGCCAAAAAGGAAGGTTTCATTAACTTTTCAAAAAGAAAAGAATTGAAAAAATTATAAACTTTATAACTATTTCAAAAGTTAAAAAAAAAAATACATAATCTTTTTTATACTCAGACACAGGAGTAAATGACAGCAAAAATAAAATTATAAATTAACCTAGTTTTTTTCTGTTCATCAAAAAAGAACTGAAAAACATTAAAATAGAAAAGGGTGGCATATTGAAAGTGTGCACTATCAGGCTAAAGATAAGAGAAGGGCTGGTTCATTCCTTTCTTCAGGGATGAGATTAGCCAAAAGGCAAAAAAGCTGAATTTCCACGATAGTAAATTTTACGCAAGCGCAACCCTTTAATAATAAATTCCAGACAGTTTAAGGTAATAAATAATGTGTTGACATACAATTGTGTACTAATCTATTATTATATAAATGATTACATTGATACTTAACATTTAGTGAAAATAAAAATTACCAATTGAAAAAATAAAGCTGGAAATTATATTTTTCCTCAGTTCACATAAGAGACAATTATTACTTGAAAAACTACCTGGTTTAGCAAATTAAAACTACTGAGAATTTACATTAATATTTCATTTCTTTTAATAAATACTGTTATGTGATT